CCTGACCTACCTGACCTACCTGACCTACCTGACCTACCTGACCTACCTGACCTACCTCTCTCTGCCTCTGCCTCTACCTATCTCCACTTCCTCCCTGACCCACCTACCCACCTACCAACCTTGCCACCGGGGGCTGCCCAGGCAGCTGGTCTGGCGCCGCGAGACGTCCTTGAAACAACTTGCCATGCCACACCTCGGTATACAAAACAAAACCTTGCTCCTGCCCCCCTACGGGCTTAAGGGAGTCACCGGGGGTGCGTGACGGTGCACAATGCCGTCCAGGTGTAGTCGCGGTTTGATACGTCGAACCCACTATGCCTCCACCCGGTGTAAGCTAGTACCCTCTCTCATTCGAGATGATGGGGAATACAAAAAGCCGCACACTTGACCAGCTGGCCTGGTTAAGTACAAGTTTGAGCCAGCGCTGTATAGCGCCGAAAAGTCTCAGCCATGTATGTTTTTAACATACATGGTTGAGCGCCTGGTTGTGCGGGCCAGGTCCTCCAGCAACGAGCTCGCACCTCATCGTGGTGCTGGAGTCTAGTAGCCTTGTCCCTTTTGGGGCGGGTGAAGCTAAGTCGAGCTCAGTAGATAGTAGATTTTAGGAAGATAAATAGTGTAGCAGATGACAGTTATTGATGATTTGGACTGTTGATCAACTGTGTAGGTGTTGTGGTGTTCATTGTTATTGTAGTGTGTATGAGGGTAATGATGCTTGACAATTTGATTTATAAGTCTGCCAATAGAGACTCAGAATAGGCAATGAACATATTTACTACTACCAAATAGTACCCCTATCATGTGGACTACTACTAAAAGTCATCATCTTAATCCGACAGAGCTCTTAAGTACATTTATTCAACATCGCACATCCCTTCCTAACAATTAACATAATCGATCCTGCTCATACTAATACACTCACACAACACCATCTTCAACGACCATCCCCATCCAAAAGAGAAATATATGATCATGCCTTCAACGGATCATGTCCCCAATTCTTCAACGACTTGTAACTCTTACTATCCGTATTCTGCTTCGCCGTTTCCTCCTGCGCCAAATGCCGTTTACAGTACGACACTACCTTGCGCATATGAACGACGTCGTCGTCCGAGTACTCCGATGGGTCTTTGGACGGGTTGTGTTCGAGGATGGTGACGATTTTGCGGCCGCTGCAACACCATATATATAATTAGAGACATATTGTTAGCTCAAATAATGAAGAAGATGGAAGGTTTCGGATCAGGGTAGTAGTGAAGAAAGGTTGGAGGTGGAGGTATGCCTTTCATGTCCGATTGTCTCTCCTGACGAGGAGGACTCGTTCGTCCAGCCGGAGGACTGCGATTGCGTGCCCTTGAGCCAGTCGCGGAGTTCGTTGGGGGTCATGTTGACGAGGGAGTTGAATTCGCTGTCCGGTTTTTAGTATTATTTTTTGGGTGGAATGGATTCTTGGAATGAAGAGGGGGGTGTACTCGATGACGGTTTCCTTGTCTTTGACCATTTTGGCGATATTTTACTCCCTTCTGTGATGTGGTGAATTGCGTAGATTGCGAGGATGGTACAGGAGTAGTGGCTAGAGGTGAGATCTCTGGCTTTGTAGTTGATGGGAGTTCTGTTGACGTCATGTTTCCGGGAACAGATACTTCGTCATCGTTCTATTTCTGGGTGGAGTGGTTGGAGAGAGATAAAGAGGATCAGTTGTGTGTCTGGTTGAGAATAAGGTTCGGGAAGGTTATTCTTGTCTTGGTTTCCAATGTGGAAGATATTGATTGTTGTTCATTCAGTCATAGCATGCGATGAATCGAAGCGAATCGCGACAATGGTATCGATAGTATTAATAAGTCTAGACATAATTGACGTTTGCATCCAACTCCAGCAGTCTGCCACCCAATTTCATACAAAAAGGAACACCACAACATGCCCTACGGCCCTGCACTGAGAGCTTTCCCGCATTTCTGAATCTGCTTGTAGACCGGCTCCTTGGCGAGATATTCCTCGGTAGCATCCACGATCGTGTCGATCTCATCAATCCCATCGAGTGAAATATCCGCTAAGCCATTGGGGACATCGAATCGGAATAGACGATTCTCGTCGTCTAGTTCGGTATGCTCTCGGAGGAACTTGTTCATGTCCATCTCGGTATCAACGGAATCAGTGCGCGATGTCTTCAGTAAGCCGAACATCGCTTTGCCGGATCGTTTGATTGATGGCACACCCGTGCCAATCGATACCATGCAGCGTATTTGGCTATCCAATGAGCCGGATGGCCATATCCCTCTCGCTTCTATCCAGACTTCTCGCACGGGATTGTTAGCGTCTGTGCTGCTATTGTAGAATCGCCGTCCGCTTGGTCCAATAGGAACGGGATCGAAGAGCTGCTCTGTGGAGAAGCAAGCTCTACCAGCCTGCCATACTTTGGCGGTCTTGTAAAGCTCGTTGGAGCAGTATTTGCTCGGGTAGCTTGTCAAGGGTGCTAGGTTACGTTTTGAACCGTCATCGGTCACGCAAACGTAGCTATGTCGATTAGAACGCAGTTTCTAAATCATTGCGAGAGACTCACACTTTGCAAGAAGATGCCGGTTCTCTTAGAAGTATGTCATCTTCGTAGCCAAGCTCATGAAGAATCGCCTTCATGGCAGTTTCAATCCTGCGACCGTCATATTTCGATTGTCGGCGCAAGTTGCCTCCTACTGGCAGCAGTCGCTTTCGAGCAAATACGTGGTTTGACAGCCTTTTGTATGCGTTGATGCACTGATCAATGTCCATCTCCAATCGACCAAGCATAATGGCTATTAATCTTTTATTTTGAAGCAGTTAGAAAATGAACCCGGTCGGAACGATTTGTGCACCATTAGAATGCCTACCCGCCTGATCCGGATCCTCCTATCAAATCAAAGTATTCGCATGGCTTTGGTGTGTTTTCAGGATCGATAGATTCCATGATGTGCTTCAGAATGTAAAGGGAGGATAATCCGCGGACACCCCCGCCATCGAGGCTGAGGAGACTAATGTTCCTCACCATGGTGCAAACGGTAATGCTGAACTTCTAGATGAGTTCAGAAGCCAACATGGTTCAGCCACCATGAGCCACGGACTCCGATACTATTTATACGCCATCGACGCTGACACCGAACACTGCTTATGGGAATCTCCGCCTCAGAGACAATGACGCACACCCGTCAACGGCTGATCGGGCTCAAAGCATTATCGGGGCTGGTATCAGTGCAGCCAGTAATGACTGTTCTTGAATCAATTCCGGCCCGACGTATTGATCGACATTGTCAATGCGGATTCTAAGCAGCAGCAAATCATATCAACGCCTCGCTTGTTTGGGCACATTGGAGCGGAAGGCTAGTGCGCACTCACCGTATTTTCCAGGCCCCATTCGATGCTGCTCGTTTTATCATCGTGGGGGAACATGTCGGGCTGGGATTTAACTTCAAGCAGCCACAGTTCATAGGTGGGGTGACAGCCACGTAGTCAGAGCTTAGCGCCGTCATCCTTGGGTGAAGCAACCAGCGGCCCATGCTCATTGGGACTTCGGGTGAGGATATGATGGTGCCTAAAGTTGATCATCGCATCGAGGAGGTATTTGCATTAGCTTTATCTGGATGATATAGCCCTTGCATTATCTTCTGTCGCAGATAGAAAGTGATTGTCAAGGGTGCATGGAGAGTTGGGGAATCGCAAACGTCTCAGTCCATCTCATAGTCACCGGGCACTTATTGACACCTGAGGCACTAAATACCCAAAGCACACTAGTGCCAATGATGGCGAAGACCACCATACTATGAGGGATAATACTCGATCTGCACACGATCCGGATTGTCTCCAGAGCAACATGCGGAAAATCAGATACTCTCTCCCCTGAAAAATTGAATGTGTCTTCCTGGGTGGGAATCTGATACAAAAGTCCTTGACTTGTGCCTAAACCTACAGGTCGGGTATTGGAGAAGAAACCTTGCGGGCTTAATGATGCGCCTCGCTTACAATAGACCTCGTGTTCGCGTGGCTCGATCATCTATCTGTGAAACCGATTCTTGAGTGTGCCTACATTTCTACCGCATCTTACATATGTACACCCAGTCGCCTTCACCTGCCGTCAAAAAAGTCCAGCATAGCGTGGACGCTAGGCTGCAAGAGTCATGCCTAAGGCAGCGTGTAGCCGCCATCAATCACGAGGTTGGCCCCAGTCATATAGCTCGAGGCATCGGAAGCGCAAAATACATAGGCCTGAAACATTAGTAAGTTTTGTCCCGTCTCGGATTAGAAAGGAGGCAGCGAAGGGTCACAAGGCAGAAGATGACTTACTCCTTTGAGTTCATAAGCATCAGCCATTCGCTTAGCCGGGACCATATCGTTCCACTTCTCGCGCCATTCCAGAGGGTGGATATCGAGGATTTCTGTGGCAATGAACCCTGGGGAAATACAGTTGACCCGGCAAAAATCAACCCATTCAACAGACAGACATTTTGCCATCTGCACGACCCCAGCTTTGGAGGCATTGTACTGGACCATGCTGATTAGTAGATACTTTAGGACCAGAATATGACGCAACCCACTGCAGCTTGTTTCTGAGGCACATTTACCAATGTTGCACTGACAGAGGCTGTGAAGATTACATTTCCATGTCCTTGTTGCTTGAAGATCCGAGAAGCCGCCTGTGCGCTATAAAATGCGCCATCTAGATTGACCTTCATGATGTCACGCCATTGTTCGGTGGTGTAGTCTTCTGCCGCGATATTGGAAGTGACCCCCGAGTTCACGACGATAATATCAAGCTTGCCAAAGTCTGAAGCGATCTGCTGGATTACCCTCTCAATATCCTCCTGATTTCCGACATCAGCTTTATAGGCAGCTGACTTGACATTATTCTGGGCGCCGATCTCTTCGGCAAGGGCTTCTGCAGCTTTAGACGAGTTGTAAATTAGGGCCACCTGCGATAGTCGGCATAAGACTGCTTGGTAGAGCGCTTCATCTTACGTTGGCACCAGCTTCTGCGAGAGCCCTCGAAACCTCCAGTCCGATACCTCGGGCGCCGCCTGCGATCGTTTAGAAGCTGCTAACATGTCTATGCAAGGGAAGGTACCAGTAATAGCAGCAACCTTGCCAGTGAGGTCGAAGGACTTGAGGACGTGCTTGTTCTCAGGCTTAGAAAGGACCATGGTGACTGTATTGTAGTGAAAAGTCGTTGAGAGTGTGCTCGTGCGACATGGTGAGGCTTGTATGAGTGAAGTACTCCCTGTGCTGTAGGGAGCCCCGCAGTAGACCCCCGCAGCGGAGGTCCTCCGAGACTGGCACGTGGAAGTGTTTTGTCTGAGCGCGCCTCACCTGGGGCATCACATTCACGCGCTCAGATAGAAGATCATCACAATTCATAGAGATAGCTGTCATCCACGAAGTTAGCCTGATGGATGAGGCTGTGTGCCGATAGTTGTTTGTGCTTTTCAAGTGCATCCCCAGAAAACCGCAACGAATCAAGCGCCATCGCCGCTCCAAAATGGCCATCGCGCGTCTCGTAGGCTCCGATCAACAGACTAAGGTCTGAGATCATTCGTTGAGCATGAGCAGACGATGCGAATTTCTCCTTGATAAAAGCTAGACATGCTGCAGCATTAGAAACGGCAGAGTCAGAGGTTAGCTGCGACCGCGCATTTGGCATATGAGCGAGAAAGAGATTGAGGCGTGCAGCCTGATAAGCACATCTCGCAATATCGAATGAGAGGAGCACCCGGAGATCATTATTTCGAACTTGCGATATGGTTTCTACGATCCAGCCACTGTGTTCTTGACATATTGCCTGGGCTTGACTGGCATAGGTACTTGATCCCAAGGGACGCAATACCACATCAGGGGCCGCATTGGGATGTCCGAGGAGGAAGAGGCGAAACAAGTCACAGTGCGCCTGACGCCAAGCGATTTGAATTTCTAAGGCTCTCACAACCCACCGGAAATTTGGCCGGATTATGGACCCAGTGGCTGAAGAACCCACCACGGACACTATTTTCTCCTGAAGATGAGCGAGATTCATTTGAAATCCTTGCACAATGCCCTGAAACTCTTCGAGAGGCTGCTCCAGCAGGGCCAACTGCCTGGTGAAGCGCATGATATCTCTGCGCACTCTGGAGATACGCAATATCAGCTCCAGCATGCTGGAGTGAGCTTTATCTTCACCCCGAGTGGTGGAAGGGCCCTCTATGGTGTCAGAATCCCTTGAGCCAAATTCCTCTTCACGACATGGGTATTGCTGATAAATCTCTTCATAATTTATCGTACTGTAGCCAGGAAGGCCTACAGAAAAGTACCCATCAAGGAGTGCCATCGTCCAGGCAGCTCTTCGTCGAATCTCCTGGGTGACAAAGCTGAGGTGTGGACTCTCGTGGTTCAGCTGGAGAGCAGTAACATGACGGCTGGCGATGGAAGCCATCATGAAAGCTCTTTCAAACCTGCCAACTTCAGCATGATACTGGATTATCAAGAACAGTGCCTGTAATCTGAATATAGAAGGCGTCTCGATCATATCCCAGATCCTCTTTTCCGAAAGTTCGATCAATAATACGCTTTCGGAAGGCTGAGATCCAGTTGGCCTACATCTCAGTTTGACCAAGGCGCACATAGATAACACGAGGCTTGGCTCGAGCGTCCGACCAGCACACATTCGCCGAATAGAGGGTTCGTGAAGGAAGCTGTAGGAGGGCAAGGGATACAAGTGCAAGAAATAGTCATCAAGGACTCCATCTAACTCCGCGCTATCCTTTACAGGGTAAACTCTGATAGAAATCAGCGGCCCGATCAACGATAATACGATCATAAGGACTGCCATACAGCCCTTGCTGAAGCTCAGTAAGGGAAACCAAGCGATTGGGAGACGTGACTGCCAATTTTCCATCTCGGCCTTGATAAAATTGGCGGGCTCTTCTCAAGGCTGGATAGTGGCATTCCAAATGGCGTCGCTGGCACTTATTGCATTGTGGCGTCTCACCTGAACATCGGGCTTTTTGAAGACGACAATTGATGCACGCCCGAGTTCCACGACGTCTCCCGGGATGGCCACCGTCATTCATCGGGCGTCCGGGGGATGGGTTATCTCTCTCATAGGAGCATGCATGCTTTAGCCTCTCGCAGTTCCCACAAGTGTACTTTTTACGATCGCAGCGAACCTAAAATGACTTAACCACTGAGAATTGCCGCGAGGTAAAAAGCAAACATTGAACGGATGCTTACTTTGCGCGACCGACATTGAGAACAAGGAGGTGAAGTTTCCCGATCATGGTGATTGTCCATGTGCGCTCACAATGTTCATCACAGATCCGCGATCGGGATATTTGTAGATTTGTATAAACAGGGTTGACATATGTTGAATCAAGTCATCTATATTCAACGGTTGTCCAGCTTGTATATCAACGTGGACGCCATTGCGCCTTAGAGGCGTGCGATGGCGTCAGCCCGAAGTACCTGCAGCCGACAGATAGCAGGTTGACAAACTCCGATCGTACTTAGTTCCGAATACTAATCTCCGTAGGCTTGCAGGCCTGGCGTATACCAGTATAGTGCAGGTAGCACAGCAGGAACTGAAACTATTGGTTACATGTGAGATGTATTCTCCGATGAACCACTATGCCGACCGTAGGACACGGGAGCCTTTCCGAGCCGCTCGTGATGACTGAACTTAGAGCTTTGCCCGATCCCGTCTTTTACGACCTTGATTGTATACACTTGAGCCACAGACTGACTCGCCATGTTCTGTTCTCAAGTAGACTGGAGTCGATAGGTACTGGGTCTCTTTCCTTACATTTGTAGGACGAAGCATGGCTGTTCCTTCCCAAGCAGATTTTGAGGTATGAGCTTCACTGCACGAATATAACATCATTGTGGCAGGAGAATCCTCCGACTCGTGAGCCCGAACGAATGCTTACAGCTGGGTAGTAATGCCATGGAGACCAAGTACCACAAATAACTTTCTCTATTGGGTTGCTGTGCACCTGAGACCGACTAGGAGGATAGTGCTAATCATTGGAATACCGTCAGCAGTACATGTCTCATCAAAGAAGGGAGTTTAGCCGCCGATTGCAACCAAGACCAAAGGATTTGTATCATACTTTGCTCGAACAGGGCAATTCAGGCGGTTGTTCTGCTGCCGTATAGATGGCAACCATCACGAGTAATTCCATTCCAATCCGAGGAAGTGAATGGCTCGCTGCACGGTATCCATACTCTTTAGGTTACTTCTCAACCCAGGCTGCCGAGAGTGATCATAAACCGTTCTCCACAGTCGGAAGAGGACGTGACGAGAGACAGGCATATGCCATTTGTGGGCATCAAGAGTCATGGGAACACCAGGGAGTCGGTGGGCTCCATGCGGGCATTGGAAACAGAACACAGAGGCTATTTTCGCGAGGAAAAAGTGATTAGCAAGCGGTCAATGAGGTCCGCAAAAATGTGGACAGGAGGAGAAGTGGATGGTCGGCGGAGCCCGGTATCGCGGCTTCCGTTTGTAGATGTTGGCCAACTGCAACATTCTTGGAAGACTTCAACCACATCATCTGCTTCTGCCTTCGTTTTTGCAGGACATCACCTCACTCGCTTTGCTTTTCTCGGTTTTCAGTACTTGCGTCCTCGTGATGCCTCATTCTCTGCAGTGTCAAGACTACCTGCCACAGTACCTACCAATCAAACACGATTTCCTCGACCGGTTGAGCTAGCATCGTCATCGCGAAATACAGAACCCAACAGAACGGTAGAGAGAACCGGAGAATACTTGTCTCGCTTTTTGGAAAGTAATTTCAGATCGCATCTGAGAATGGAATCAACCCCTGGGATCTGGAGGAACTTGCCTGTGACTCCTTGCTTGAGCGGGCGTTCAGGATTACCCCTGATATCAGTTACCTCGTGTCCTCACAATCAAGGTATCCCCAGACACCTCGCTTAACCTCTCACTGTGTGCCCCGCGCATGTGGCCATTTTCTTCTGGGCGCAGATGCCCCACGGACAATGGCACATGGTTACAAAACGGATATCCCGGCAGAGGTGCATTCTAAGTAGCAGGGCTGACTGGGAGACCATGAGGATAAGCCTAGCATGGGCCGGTTTGATAGTGGCCATTATCAAGGCACATGCAATGAGGTCGGACAGCCCTTGAAAGGCTGAGGAAAGCACGTGGTAGTGCGATGAACAGCGTCAGGCAGGCTGGTTTGAAACTCACAGCCAAGATATCGAAACAAGTTCACTCGGCTTATGGGCCAGTGGGTATATCTCACTAGATGAGATTATTGTCATAATTAGAACACTACACGAGAGCTAAGTCCAAGCCACAGCGTTCGGAAATCTGGCATGCTAGCCTGCCTGTGGATAGTACTCTCTCACCTGCGTTCATCTTCAGATGGTCCTGCTACACTCCCAGGGGCTTAAGCGACCTTTGTGGGCCTTGCTCAAATCCTGCGATCGCGTGCCAGATCAATCTGGGTCCTCTCGGCTTTCTGAATGGATTATCGCATACCAATTTTTAATGGCTCAGTTGTTGAATACCGATGCAACTCATCACTTCTAGAAGTCAAGCTTCGGTAAGAAAATGGCTCGAATATTCCTCGGCTTTCTTGTGGGTTAGCTGGCATCGACTTATGGCGTGAGTTGCCATCGGTGGAGCTGAGACCAATGACGGAAGACCTGGGGAGTTACTCCACAGTCGATATTGCTTGTTGAGGTGTCATACCAGAGCGCGCATGACCACGATCATAAATTCTGACTGTGGATGTGGGCAGTCGCATGGCCTTGAAGACTGCTCTCTTTGTGGTATCTGTAAGAATGTTGAGAAGACCCGAGAGGGGCGAGCCGTGTTTGCTTTTTTCCGCCCACGTCTCTTATGGTGGCTGCAGCATCACAGAGTCGGGTAAATGTTTACCGCTTGCGGTTGGACTGCCACCGCTACTTGGCTCGGATGATGTGAAAATGGCCGAGCTGCAGAGCATCCTCTGACCTCATCTGGAACGGAGACTCACCCAGGCATTCGAGGCAGTGAACTCGCAAAGCCTTGGCTTAGATGGGCGGCCTAAGTCGAACAACGGGAAAACAGCCAGAACTACTATCGCGGATTTGAACAGTGTTTCGCCTGATATTTGCTAGTGCTCATCTCGAGGACGATCCGACTAAAATTATCATCAGCCTTATCTTTATTAACTTGGGGTATTTTATTGCTCGAATAGTCGAGCTACCAGATTGACGGGAATGATCTGATACGTCGAGCTTCCTGTGGGTGTGCCTGAGCGGAGGCTATACGATCTGAATTGGCGACTAGCGGTCAGCCACCCCCAAAATAACACGATCGGTACCAAACTCTGGCAATACATGTGTTGGTAGGCTTCGAGTGTGGGATTGGACAGGTTTTACGAATTCTAAGCTAAATCGATTGGCTATGGAGTACGCCATGTGCGCCACTTCTGCTGGGATGAGCTGTCCGGGATCAAAGCTCTGACTGATACTATAGTACCAGTCAGTATAGTTATGGCTCGGTAGAATGTATTAAACCTCAATTCCAGTCGGTGGATGGCCTCAAGTACTGGGCCTAGTCAGTCAGTTGATTGTCGGGAGTCCAAAGCGACTGGCAGCTGAGACGCCCTGGGACGGGATCCCTGATCGCTCCTGAGAATTACCGGGCTGATAGTCAGGCATAGCCATCCCCTGAAGGAAGCCAATTTCAAGTATGATGTGTTCAATACGAATTCCAGCAAATCGAATTGTATCGGATGTTGCGGCTCAGTCGAGCCTCCTCACATGTGTCATCTCAAGCACATGGTGCAGCTACACTGGTGGATCCCGAATCGTTAGTTGATTGCTCCGTTCATTTGATGCCCCGTTCCAACCATCTGGGTGGGGGCTCGTACAGCTGGAGGATTATCTGCATTAGGCTGTGCAGTCGATCCGACATCTGGTGAACTCTTGCGGACAAGGCAATCCCGGGCGATACAAGCCCCCTGGGTCTTCGTGGAGGCAACATCCCGGCCAAACAGGGCCAAATGACTCTTGTAGATGCAGACAAAAAAGAGAAAAAAAAAGATGATGATTTAAAAATACTAGCAAGCCCGACTTGAGAGTGTATATAAACCGCTGGGCCATCACGGACAAGGACACGGCAAGAAGCTGGCGATCCACGTAGATCGTTGCCTTCACTTGGTTCTTTCAGTCTTGCGCTACTGAGCACTAGCGGGCCCATCATGACAATCTTTTTGCTACTCCTTGGGCTTCTAGCCCCACTGGTTCTCTGCAGTCCAATCAGACATGTTACTCCGCATCTTTCCCACTCTACCCCAATACCGAGAGATATGCAAGGCAATTCTTCGCAGTCACCCAATACCCCATGGCAGGGATACGATTTAAACACGAACTACTATGAAACCATCCCACAGACCAATGTTGTCCGCGAGTACTGGTTTGATATCGTCAACACGACCGCTGCTCTTGATGGAGTTGAGAGACCAGTGCTTCTGGTCAACGGCCAGTTCCCAGGGCCTACTATTGAGGCAAACTGGGGTGACACCGTTAAAGTTCATGTTACGAATCGCATGGAAAACAATGGCACGGCCATCCACTTCCACGGAATTCGACAGCTCTACAACAACCAAATGGATGGCGTAGCAGCGTTGACTCAGTGCCCTGTTCCCCCGAATTCCAGTTATACCTATGTCTGGCGAGCGGAAGAATATGGGTCGAGTTGGTATCACTCACACTTCTCCCTCCAGGCATGGGAAGGGGTTTTCGGAGGCATTTTGATTCACGGCCCTTCAACAGCGGAGTATGACCACGACTTGGGAATGGTCTTTCTCAATGACTGGTCGCATCAAACAGTCGACGAGATGTATCAATCTGTACTCGAGAGTCAAAATCCGCCGCATTTTCAGACAGGCCTTATCAACGGAAGCAATATCTGGGTCACTGCAGATAACCAAACCGTTGGTCGTAGATTCCAGACAGAGTTTGCACCAGGCCAGAGATACCGGCTTCGGTTGGTCAATGCCGCCATGCATACCCATTTTAGGTTCTCAATTGATAATCACGACCTCACCGTTATTGCCAGTGATTTTGTTCCTATTGTACCATTCACGACAAACAACGTCCCCATCGGCATGGGACAACGGTATGATATCATCGTGACAGCAAACCAAGCTCCGGATAACTATTGGATTCGTGCAATCCCACAGTCATTCTGCAGTGACAACGCGAATCCAGACAATATCAAAGGAGTCCTCCATTATGAAGGTGCTGCCGATAACAGCGATCCCACAAGCACAAAGTGGGATTATGGTGACGACATTCAGTGCCTGGATTTCTCATTAGATGAGCTTGTCCCGTGGCTTGCCCTTGATGCAGATATTGGCGGTGCCCAGATGGCCGAGTCAGACGTGGACTTCACTCCGTTCGGGGATGTTCCCTTGTATTTGTGGACCATGGGAGGCAACGCTCTTAACATCTCGTGGAAAGATCCCACGTTACAGCAAACCTTCGAAGATCCCGACAAAATGGACTGGACAGCAAGCCAGGGCGTGATAGAGGCTGCGATCCCGAATAAATGGACCGTGTTGGTTGTCCAGACAGATCTTCCTGTTCCTCACCCTATTCATTTACATGGTAAGTAAACTCGTAGCTGAGCCAGGCATGTGATCCGACTAATTCTCAACTGCAGGGCATGATTTCTATCTCCTTGCTCAGGGATTCGGCCAATTCAATCCACAGAACGTCACGCTCAAAACGCATAACCCTCCCCGCCGCGATACTGCACTCATGACCGCTGCCACTCCTGAAAATGGTGGCGGCGGCTATATGGTTATTGGCTTCCCCGCCGACAACCCGGGTGTATGGCTGATCCACTGCCACATTGGATTCCATGCAACAGAAGGATTCGCGCAGCAGATTGTCGAGCGACAGAGTGAGTTCAACACGTTCTTCAGCGAAGACTTGCTGGAGAACACTTGTGATGCGTGGGACGAGTATGCCAAGGTGAATCCCTATGGACATCAGTACCGGGGTCTCGCTGGGCCATACGAGTCGGGTATATAAAGTAGTAGTCACCATTCTCCTATTATCCTTGCACTATTTCCCCTCATCGTTATTTCGAAATTTGTTCGGGGTTTATATAAAGGTCGCCCTAAGCGCTTAATATCTTTTCTCTTTCTGGTTAGACGCTTAATGATGGAATGATCGGTCACAAGATATATAATGACACGGCAGCATATATACATACAGAAGCAGTCCTTCATAATTGAACATTTCAATGCCAAACCATGCAAACACTCCTGCGTAGATGATGTCAGCCTTCCCAAATAATTCTCCATCACATCTCCCCTGCAGTAGTATTCACTCAGCCGTCACCACATCGCAACCTGTTCCACACCCCCCAAAACTCAAGACAAAGAAGGTACCCAATCACCTCCCCCAAACGTCCGAGATGTTGAAACAATCGCGAAAATCCACTTTGCTTGACAAGCCAATAGATGGAGGTGCCGGTGACGCGTCGACGTCAGATATAGATCAGATCATATCACATCATATCAGATTAGATTTATCATTGTGAGCCTGAGGCGGAGGAAATACGTGATACGTGTGGTAATCGACGAATACATAGGGAATTTAGAGTTGTGTGTGTGTTTTAGGATGGACAAGAGTAATATATGTCGGGAAACGGCTGGAATCTGATATATTTGGTGCTTACTGTGGGATAAAGACGGGTGAGAGGTGTGGGATTCTGAGATTGATATCTGCTATTAGTTATTGGGGGGTCTGACTGAGCGAGAGGCAAGGGGAAAAGCGATGTGATAGATCAGACGTGGAAAATAATGGTTGTTATGAGAGGAAGGGATTGGTCTTATACATATATTGGATGTACGGGATCTAAAAGGGGAGGTTGTCGGACCCGATGGAAACTTTCCAGGGGAACAAGGCTTTCTTGGCTATCCAGTAGGAGAATATTCATGCTTGCCGTTGTTACCAGATGCAGGAGGTTAACGTCTCGGGTTTGCTCTATGTGTTTGAGACCGCGTGTTACATCGATATGGGGCTGACTCGTATCTGCGAGGATTAACCATGCGTGTCTGGTTGATGGTATGCATGTGGCACAGAGGAAACCAATAAATACAATTTCAGTGGCTGCTCGAATACATTTTCCCATGACGCTCGTCCTATCTTTGCAAACACATTAATACCTTAAGCATGAAAACATGTGCATGGCCAGTTACAAGTATGTGTTCAGTTAGAACTTTCGCTTTCTCCCCTTTTCGATGAGGTCAAGCTCAAACAGCAAAGCACACGCTGCAACTACCCGGAAGCTTTTGATCTCACCGTACACTTCCCTACGACGGCGCGCGGGATCCTTGTTGCTCTCACCACCGACATGGATGCAGGCGAGACAAAACTCCAGAGGTTTGAGTTGATCCGACAGACTGGTTATTGGTGACTCGGACGAGCTCCCTGCGCGCATCTGACCCACAATCCAAGTAGAGATGCGATCGAATTCATCGGCGAGTTTGTTAGATTGATCACGCTGCCGACGGGTCTGTACACCTCCTTTGTTCATGACAGACCCAATGAAGACCTCTAGTTCACTCAGTGGGTCTATAGGGTGCTCGGAGTAATTGTTTCTTGCCGAGAATACGGCCTCTTCGTATCTGAAGCCACTGTCAGTCAGCCTCGGGCACCTAGGGTCTCCGGACATACCTCAGGCGAATGTGCCGGGCTTCATCTAGCCAGCGTTCCCATGACAGATCTCCTATTTTGTCACAGAGCTCAAGTGTAGACCATAGAAATTCGTTCCAGAATTCGTCTTCGTTGGGCTGCACTTTGCTCTGGATGTCTTCTTGCCAGATCTGTCGTTCATCTACACCCCTGTAGAGCTTGCCCAATATTTTTTCTGATCTGTAGTACTTGTGGAACGGCTCCAGGTCATCATCCTCATCGTATGCTTCTTGAATAACATACTCTTCGAGCTCGATGTCGGACTTATTGTGGATACGTGCAACTGGGCCTGGTGCCATGCTATTTCACTTGTTAGCATCACAGTATCCATATATAGGTTATGAAAACATGTAGTGATAACGTACAAGTCAGGTCTGAAAGGGTTTCCCTTAGGGATTTCCGACATTTGGACCGGAATACCCGTCTTAGAAAAGTCAACCGCCGTAGAGTGCAACTGTGCCAGCTTTCTGCAGACTGGATGGGATGTTCCCTCAGCTTCCTGGTCAGCCATGATCATATGCCTTGTGGCGATCACCCCAAGATGGTCAGTTTTCATAAAGTCAAGGAAGAACTGTGCCATATCGTCGCGCTCCACTGGACGCCCGATGTCGACTGGGCTTACGCGAGGATAATCCGCGGGCGCAAATGTCCGCACCGGATACGCATCGGTATCCCAAATGACGTTGAATATATCGCCGTCGAGATCCCCCCCGCTGAGCTGACTAGGTAGGTCGCGATACCCCTTGCTACTGAACACAATGCAATTCGTAAGCTCTGCCAACGGGTGGTTGTCAGGGGGAATAACGTTCTGTGCAAATTGAATGTCCCCATCATGCAATGCTGGCGAGCGAGTCACTAAGACCATCCCAGCGTTAGGAGGGGGCGCGTGTCTTCCTTCTATGGGTTTATATGCCACGTAAACCTGGTCAGCTTCGAGAAGCCCCGTTTCGTCTAGAACACCAAATAGAGTGATGCCTTTGAAGATAGGGATACGAGCTTTGTGCTTTAAAAGACGTAGCTCTTTGAGAACAACTGCCTCGACGATCGAACGAATAAAAGGCTCTTTCCTATAGTCAAGGTCACGCAGATGGCAATGACGGAAGAGTCTGTAGAGCCCTATGCTGTCGCCGACCGCCTGTCTTTTGATGAAGACTTCTGAGTTATGAGCGCTAGCGGTGACACTACGGAGCTTGGTTAGTGCTGCCTCTTGCAATGTGAGGAACCAGTCATCTGGCGTTCCCATATCCTCCAGGATCTTGATCATTTGTCGATTCAAGACCAACATCATTGGCTTGGCCGCCATATCGCAGATCTCAAGGTCTTTCATGTCCCCTTGGAATTTTATCATGGAAGGTCGAACTTTGACTTGAGAGCCCGAAAGTCGACCATCAACAGCGAGCATGCCCTTTGCACCGCCTAGTCGGACCTGGAAGCAGGTAGGAAATCCTTTTTTTTCTGGTATGTTATGCCAAATGGACTCTGCAACATTCCATGAGAGGGTACCTATCCCGTCACTGAATACCCGCTTGCCATCTTTAGATGTTACGTCTGCCATCTCTGAGACTTCTATGTCGTATTCGGACAGGGAAATCGCGTAAGGAGTGTCTGTAAAGGCCTGACCAATCCTGGCGGCACACCTCGCAGGTGATTGGATTTTGCTGAAGTCACCAAGCGCCTTGATAATGCTAAAGTGAGTTTGAAATTGACTGGATTCGTCAACAAATGGGGAGGAAAACTATTTTGAAAGGATATTAGCTATTCTGAAAGGATCCCACACTAAGGTTCTGTACTTGCCCAGACAGCATGGGATCTCAGTGATGAGTGAGACCATCCCAAGAATGAATATGTCCGCCCAGCAATCTGAATGCCGCGGGTGAGAACATGTTTAAATCTGGAAAAGACATCATCATAGTGAATCCGAGAATTGAAGTGGAGATCTTGGCCGTTTTCGTCACAAAATTGCACTCTAATGAAAAAGTCATGGTGATTTGGGAACCTTCGCAGGATCCTATTTCGAGGTTCTAATTCCGGCCCATGGAGAGTAACTCGCGTCGGCGTAACCATGACCTTGTGAATAGGAGTCAAGTTGTCGGAAGGGCCTAGCATATCTCCAGAAGCCGCCAAGTCTTGTAGGACGTCTTTCTGGTTCTGCTTCAGAGCCATCATAAGGGCACCAACCTCGAAGTCGGTTGGATTGCCGTGAGGCGAAGGCCAGTCAATCATGTCAAACAGTTTCTTCATGGCCAGTACTGAAATAGGCCTTCTGTGTGCAGCAGCGTCTTCCTTGTAAGCCTTGATTAGTTCTTGTGCTAGACTTTGAACTGTGCGTGGCAGTAGATAGGCGTTATATGCAAGAGCCTGCAACTGGTATAATATTCCGAAGGGAAGAGAGTTATTTCTCGTGCAGGTGGCCAATTCGTCCATGAGAGCCTTGAGTTGGACCTGAAAGGCACCCATTGGTAGTGTATTGAGGGGCAAAACATCGTGGCGTATGATTGCAATCTCCAAATCCTTTATGTCTAGAATGTCCTTCATGAGATCAACAAAAGGGACCCGGAATTGATAGACAAGACATTGCCCAGCCACATCGGCGTGGGTTGGACTCAGAGAGCACATCCGCGAACGGGAAGGCGCCGCTGGATGGTATTTCGAAGAGCCAAGCTGGAGCATCTGGAATGCGATGGTCAAAGGATCAGGACCTTCATGAGAGAAGAAGTACGGAACCGTAGACAAGGTGAGTGTTAGAGTCCCATCCCTGGACCATATGAGCTCAATGACTGTACTGAGTGGGATGCGGATGTGGTAATTAGACTTGTCCAACTTGATAATGATAGCCCTCTTCTTAAACTTCATCAAGCCGGTGTCCGACCACTGCACCTCTGGGACATATCCAAAGTGCTCTCCTCGGAACATAGAATAACCACAGCTGAGCCCCAGTAAGCGGAGGGAAACATGCTTATTGTCTTCGTACTTGTGCAAGGTGTCTTTTGCCCGCTGTTCAGCCATATGTTGAAGGCTTTGAATAGCAAACTTGCTCGGTGCCTTCTTACTTCGTGAGCAGAAGACATCAGCACCCATGATTCTTAACTTGGATTTCAGTCGCGGTCTCCCGCGAGCGTTCATCATTCCTGGAATCTCTTCCTGCCCATGTAACAGCAGGAATCGCTCTCCATCTTCAGGGCGATGAAAGATAAGGAACCCGATACTTTTTCTCTTTGGCTTATCACACAGAAAATTGAGGGTTCCTAGCCGCCTGAGGATGGGTTCCAGCTCCTTCTTCAGACCTTGATCGGAGAGTTGCGCAGGGACATTGTGCATAAACACTTCCATGATTACAAACACAAGACAGCACAAGAAGCAAAAAGCGATGTCAGGAAATAAGGTAATAAACAAGGATAGATGAGATGGTTTACATGAAGGCTGAGAAAAATGAGAGAAGAAAGTGAAGGAGGAAGGGAAAAGAGAAAGGAGGGGACCTAAAGGACTGGCGCTTCAGCCTCGCCAATCAATGGGTGAATGAACATCAGGTGACCCCCTCACACATTCACTCCCACTTCAATCTACAAAGGCTCATCATGGTACAAACTGATATGGTGATCTGATCACAATATCATTCGAAGTGTCAATATTTGTAAGGCAAAATCAATGACGCCAGAAGTCAAAATAACCCATACTTCGTCAGAGCTGAAGGGAATATGACGAAGAACTAAACTGATGCAGGATCTAAGACCACTACCGAGTGAGGTAGAAACTTTCTCATGGAATTAATCAGGTCAAATCATAAATCGAGAAGTGACATAGGGAACGATCTTCACCTCCCCAATCAAGCCATTATCCACCAGTTCGGGCAACGGGTCACTCAATAGAGGCGCAATCCCAGATATCTCAATTTCATCGTATATACTCCGAATATAATTCCACATTAGCGATGGAACAATGGCAGTCACTGCATTAGTACCATTGGTGAGGTATGGACCAATGTCAACTTTAGGATTCGTGAAGTCCAGAGGCCCCACATCATGGCCATTTACGGACACTTTGATGCCTTGCGCAATTCTGGGAAAAGTGAGGTATGCACCATCAACATCGTAAGCAGAATTCGGGGGCCAAGTAAATGTAGAGAGGTAGTAGCCAAGACCGGAGGCGTTTTGAAGCGCTGGGATTTCGAGCCATGAGACCAAAGTGTCGAGGTGGTGAGTTGTGTTGCGCTTCATGGCTTGGGTGGTGGCATCTGACATGTTGTTGGGAGCTTCCCAGTGTTCCGCGATGAGCGTCCAGTTTCGTAAGTGAGAAGTAAGAGAGGTGGAGTTGAGGGCGAGGTCATAGGTAGTTCCGTTGGAGAGTTGGAACACACAGTCGTTGCAGGGATCGGTGGATGTGTGGAGGAGGAGACCGCCAGGGGTGCTGTAATTATAACCCAGGACGGTTGAGGGAACACGTGAAGCGTGAAGAGACGGGGTCTCAATTTCATACTTCAACTCGTTGCTGAAGGCAAAAGCGATCGTTTGATTCGCAGCAAGGTGAAGAGGAATTACTGTCGTGTTCCCGCTTCTCTTGTAATGGAGGAAAGGGCTTCGCTTGCCAGTCCAGCTATCCAAAAGGTAAGGTGTCTTGGTTGAGCTAACAGTGAGATTGCCTTGAGAAGCCGAATCTTTGGAGAAGATAAAAAGGTAGTCCGTGTTATTATCCGTCCGAAGAACTGGATACCAGGTGCCATCAGAATGAACTGCGACGCGCGGAGTGAGGTTGAGCTGCTCGAGCTTTGAAGCAATTTGCCCAAACCCAGTGGTATAGACGTTTGGAGAACTCCTGAGTGCCTCTAAAGCAGCGTAAACCGCGGCCTTATCGGTCGCTTCACCATTGGGATAGTATCCCGGAAAACCGCCACTCAGAATGACGGGGAGTCCGGCATCGGCGTACTGTTGGAGCTTGTTGACACCAGCCAAAGTGACATTCTGATCGCTTGTTACGACAATTGCTTTGTAGGCGGGGGAGTGAGGGGCCAAAAGGCCGCCTGCTACAGATGCTTGCGAGAGATTCAAGTTTGCAGGTGATAGATAAGTGTAAGTGTAACCTGCATTAATCATATCATCGGCAGAGTACAAAGTCTCAAGCTGAGGACCAGTCATTGAAACTCCATTATACAGAGCGATGTCGGTTCGTGGCTGGCCAGCCTGCAAGATGTACTGATTCCGGCTGATATAGTCAATGGCGTCTGAGAACCCATGGCCCCATGCAGGCTGCTTGTTATAGTAGGATTCTGCGAAAAGCATGAAGAAAGATGTATACCCCGGCCACGTTGTCTTATGGTAGTTACCAGTATATGACTGGCCGTGTAACACAATCTGATTGACGCCACCGGCAAAAGCTGTATTGATCTGCCCAAGTAGTTCACTGACCGGAAGGGCAAATGCCTTTTCTAAGTTAGCGCCCATTTCATTCGAAATCACGTTCTTCTGAGCGAGATTTGCGACGCCCGAAAACTGACGATATCCATCGATGTTATTGTTGAACGCAAGACTCTCACACTCCGGGGCAATGACATGATTGATATTTACTTCCATGTTGATCGGCAGGTTGTAGGAGACTTGGGCTGAGTAGCCTAAGCCCAGACCATCTAGCCAGGCTGAAAGCGTGTCCAAGTAAACTTGATATCCTTTTTCTAGAGCAGCACGGAAGTCATTGACGTAGCCTTGTCCCTGATCCTCACGGTCCAAGACGCATTCCAGATTACCAGGGTATGACGGCTGCACGCCGGGGTTATTATTTCCGTACATGACGAGAGGAAGGTACTTGCGCAGCTGATAGCCGTTGATCTGCTCGAAAATATCTGGAAGGGAAGGTGACCAGGAAATGTTAGACTTGATTTCGATGCTGTCTTCCCAGCCATAGCGGCCGACCTCTTGCAAAAGGGACTTGATATCAGTATCAATCAAGATGTAGTTCTCCCAGAAGTCAATCGTAGTTTGAGCACCACGAGCGCTGAAGTGATCAACTGTGTAGGAGCCATTATCGAAAATGCTTCCTGTAGAGCTTTCTTGGATGTCAAGGTTTTTGACAAGGTCCTGGTACTGATAGTAGGCAAAAAGACGATAGGTTGAATGTTCGCTAACATTGAATGACAACGACACTTTTCCATCAACACTGACCGCATCTGTATGATCCACTAGTGACCCTACTGCCAGGACCAAGCGTGTTGCGTTATTCGCAGGGGTGAAAAAGAGTCTGCTCGCGGGATTGACAATTGTAGAGGTGTTCACGACCCGCGCGGACACCAGAGAAACAAGTTCACCTGTTCCCCAACCGGGAATTTGACCGTTGTATGTGCCATTCGGCGGGACACTGACATTAAATGGTGCCTTGGAATATCAGATTACGTCAAGACATTCTATTTGAAGGGTATCCTACCAAATCCCAATGAAGCCCCTCATCATTTGGTTTGGCTGGAACGCCTTGACCTTGACTCGGACCCAGAGCAAAGTCAAAGATCATGCCCGTGCTCTTTGCACTCTGCAGTGAGGCTTTGAAAATGGAGTTGAAAGCTGGTGTACCAAAGCCACACGTAGCCCAGTCGGCACCAGCGGGCTGTGGTGCCAGCGAACCGCCGTAGTTGTAGAGGCCGAGGAGCTCCACCCCTCCAGCACCTATTGCGCCAGCCTCTCCAATATCCTTCACCACCGTATTAGTATCGACACTGGCATCGGGGAGCCAATAACGAAACTTTAATCTGACGTCATTGGCCGGGGATGCAAAGGTCCCATGGTTGCTAGCTGCGGCTGCAACCTGGGTTATGATGGAAAACCCGATGTAAAGAAGTTTGATGCTCATGAGAACACTGATCGGAGTAAAGGCGAAAGAGGGAATCTAAGTTTTATACGACACGATGAAGACAAATGAGCGGTTGCGACTGGATAACTGTCAATGCTTATATTGTACTATGTGGTGAGCGCGAGGAAGCTTTGGTTCTCAAGTCCTCTTATACCTACATCTTGTGTGGAGCGCGGAAACAGACCAGTCCATCGTGTAGAACAGGCCTTCTGGATGCGGTAAGTAAGACTGACAATCGTAAGCTTACACAGATAGGTCAGAATGACTAGCATAATTGATAAGCTTTACGAGAGGAAGTGTGAGTGGGAAAAGGTCAGCATCGCGGCTTTTCCGCCTGAAGAACCGGCTTCCCTCCGAAGATTGGCAAGTCCTAGGGGACGCGTTCCCTTCCCCTTCCTTACTATCAATCTGGGGGGAACCTTAATATTACTGGAAAATCAAGATTGCTACCCACTATAGCAGTAGTAGATGAAGAAGAAGTCGTAAAAGAAGTCTCTCTTGGCACATCATTCGGCTTATCTTCCTCGTATCCTTGAGGCATTCTGCTCATCAGCCATCACACCACGATTCCATGGTGGCTTGGCAGACAAACATGGATAATCAAAGCGACAAATATCAGCACGATGATAGACTAATCGATTACTGAGGATAAACGAACACCCGCCCGGTTCCCCTAACGCTGTATGAGAAGCCCGATTATAAGGGAATGTGACCAGCAGAGACCGAGTTTACGACAGGGAAACGGAGACACATTGCTTCGGTGTATCGGTGTATGGCGAAGCGATGAAGCCAGTGGTGCCGAGAATGATGGACAGGCTTCTTTCCCAGTGGGTTCAAATACCCGATTCTAAACCCGCTGATCTTTCAGTTCGGTTAAGGATGACTGAAGACGGTCTACACTAACAGCTCGTCTCGGCAACTTTTAACGCTAGCTCGTAACCACCATGGCCATAGTTGGGCTGCACGAGAATGGTTGGGTCAACCCCATCATAGGTACCCCTCATATCTGTCATGGTAAGAGATCGACATGAAGCGGTCGCTGTGACGAATGTGAAGAGGAAATTTGTTGGTCTTTGCGGTACTTTCTTGTCACCTTCGGGATCAGTCATTTCGAAGTTCGATTCTTAAAACTTTATTCTGTCCGCTTATCATCAGAGTAAAGTCCGGAAATATTATCCTGTTTCTTGCTCTGACATGAAACTACTATGCTAGGTGACGAACCCATGTTAGCTTTAGACTAATGCACCTCGGAACTTGGTTTCGAAGGTCCTCCGGAAAATGATGAAGCCCTAAACATGCCGAGATCTACGGAGTACAAGGTATCTGCACTGGTCCACCTAACTTGGTTTCTGCAGGCCCCATTCTGAAAGAAACTATGTGAAATAGGCCAATCCCGACGGTTATACTTTTCTGCCAAGATTACTCACAGAGTAGTATTCTGTCATGGTTGCGGGGCTTGAATGGGGTAGCTGTTACTAAGCGGCCAACGCACGGTCTATCATAATTTAAAAAGCCATGGCAACATCGGAATGGGGTCGGAAATCCCGAGTGCTATCAAGCTGACGATCCATGCCTGCCGAAGATTCTGCATCAATCCCCTCAATGCCTGGCTCCCCAAATAATGCAGCTGATGCGTACGATAGCATTCTCATATAACCTTTCACCTGCCGCATTATTTCACATATCTCTCACAAGTGCGCTCCTAACCATAATACACATGAGAACGATACAACGTTCCAAGTTGTTGGATATGTGTCGATTACATCTGCTTGATCCAATCGCGAACTAGGACTGTACTCACTACGAAGCATAGAACGCGCTACTCAACGAAGCTAATATAACGATAATATTAAGATTTTCATTCAGCCTGAAGCCAAGAAACTAGACCATACTGCTCCGGGCTCCCTTTTAATGTGACTCACCTCGCTCATCAATATAATTATTTGAAATATTCTGTGTCAACGCTTTAAGCAGTAGACCAAGCATGATGATTGCGTCTATCTGTAGAGCAGATGAAGTGATATGTCCCAAGAATCCCTCTCTCTCGCCCGATTTAGCCAAGTCTGGATTTCAGTACTAATAAATTCATCACTCAGAGATCAATCATCAATGTCGCTCCCCACCCCAGAATATTCTGCGGCTCCAAAGGCTTGCTTAAGAACAGACGAGCAAACAAGTCCACAGGTGCCTCGTTCTTCCTTTCAAAGCTGTAAAGCTTTGATTGTCTTATTATTAGCTTTTCCCGCTGGCTCATACATGCCATAAAGAGCCTAGCATGTTGAGGCATAACACAGGATACCATAAGTACCGGGAAATATTCCTCATCACTGAAGAGATATGGGTACTCTTCCTTACCTTCGCCGTCATTTTCGTCAAGTTTCTCTCTTTCGAGTGCTGAATCCACCTTCCGCTGATTCGCACGGCCTCTCATGGCTATAACTATAGCGCTAAACTCGGAATATTGAATGGTGTCTTCCCGGGCCATCTTGTCATCGATAAGATGGAAGGCTATATGTGGATAAACCTTTCCTTTATTGTCGGGGGATGGCTCCCTTACGCACTCGACATCCCACCAATTCTTCTTGCCGTAGGGCCATGAAAGAAGGGCTTCCAACCAAAAAGTACTATCTGGGGCTCTGTGAAGAATTATGTTAGAGCATTGCATTTATGCCGTAATTAGAGCAAAACTTACTCGACAATCTGAAGGCCTTGTTCAGCCTGTGCCTCACATGTGGCACGATCCTCGATGAGACTAGAAATTTGTTCTACGCGGTCTAAAGACCCTATTTCCCAGAAGCGATTTTGGCTCTGATCAATGTCGAAAAATTCTCGTGCCTCGCTCGAATCGACTGGATATTCCTCCAACTTTGCCAACTCCATGGGGTGAAATAAAATAGGAGGAACCATTGTCAGGTTGGATTTCGCATTATCCAGATTTTCGAAATCAAACTGAACCTTATGCTCGACGTCTCCGAGGCTGGCAATGTTGATATGCCCATCCTCAGGCACGTTATTCCTCCATTCCATTATGGTCTTGAACAGCCCTTCAAGAACGATGCGGTTTCTGGTAGTGCTAGACGGCATGGTCGCGATCTTGTTATGTAGTATCCTTGTGGTGCGCTGGGACATTACCACTATCATCGCCCTGTCTACTCCGAATGGCTAATATTATATTGCTTTGGGCTTGGTTGGTGGAAAGGCTGTTTCAGCATGATGTGACGAATACATCAATTGACGGAACACGCTGTAACAAGTGCGTAGTTATGCCGCGTCGGCGGGAAAAGAGGTGGAGGTTCCGACAAAGTCCTGCCGAACTTAGAGTAACTCATCATAAGTACCATACAATGGTTGGGATCACAGTTGAACTTCCTGAAGATGTGGGTTCGTCTCTAGCAGTCTGACCGGCATGGATAAAGGCGTGATCTATCCCTGTCTCAGTCAGTGCTGCTGAGATATGGACCTCCTCGCCTGGAAAATATGTCCAGACAAGGGATTTCTCTTTCTTGAAGACCACTTGGTCCCAAGAAATTGGAAGCATCGCTTGTATCTTAGGTGTGGTACTAAGGAGCCACTCCATGCCTCCAGTGTTGAATTGTATCTTGTCGGTTATCGATACTTTTGCCTGAGTAGTCATTCCGAGCCAGCTTGATCCCAGTATCAACTTGCGTAGCTTGCTCATGTGCCAGTGTGCATGCTTAACTCCCTCTTCAATTATGAGGAAGAGGTTTCGCTAATGGATGATCTCATAGGTTTAATATGTATGATGCTCTTCTGGTTCACAAGCTGGCGTGATTACCTTCTTGAAAAGCAGGCATTATGTCTTCTCTGATTCCCTCGCGACGAGTGGATTGATTCCCCAGGAAACTTTACTATATCATTCCTCCCATTCGGTGACCAGTCTCTTATTAGACTAGAGATTATAATAGAAATAATAATCTATATAGTATTATTCATGCTGGTCATGTTGGGTAGGAGTCAGAATATATTGAGGGCTAAGTCAGTTGGAGAAGGCTTTTTATATTAGGTGGAAGATTAGAGTAACAGTTAATGAGTAAAGATAGAAGAGTAGTGACATGCAGGCAACCAGATAGTAAATTGCAATAGTTCGATGCTGATAGTTCTTCTACATTCATATATCCATTCCCTGATCAGCTATACATTCAATCATATTAGCAGCAGTGATTACTCCTTCTCTTTCTGCAGCAGCATTCAGGGCTAGGTTGTTACTTCAGACAGTGAAGAACCTGCATTGCTAGGATATTATATAACAAGCTCGATCGAGTTCAAAGAAGATGAGTTGGAATAGATGAAATCTCTCTCATTCACAGCATCTCATGCTGTTAAATTCCCAAATGCATGCAAGTCACTCGGCATTAATTCGACGTTTTCACTTTCTGTTACAGCCACAGATCCTTTTTTCAGGCCATACAACGTCTTCATCATTTATTAAAGAGCATGAGAGCCCAGAGGATGCTGCTTTCATTACTGCAGAGCGCAATATACTAGCGTTCAGTTAGATGAAAGGATTTTGTAGGTAGCAAACCATCTAAACATTTCAGGGAAAGCACCTGATTTTTATCTTACCTGAAAAATGAGGATTTCTTTCAATTATCGCGCTATCCACAATGTATCAATATAGAAATGAATTGAAAACGAATAGACTACTGATATACTTCTGCAAAAAAAGCATCTGCAGAATTCTGTCTTATATAGAAGTCCCTAAGCACGCTCCTCAACCACATTCCTCGACCCTCCCATGAGTGGATCTGTTTCTCCTTCACCACCAACACTGCCACCTACTCTCCTTCTTCTCATCATCCCCAAGACAGCCAACCCCCCATGAACAATCGCAAACACCACCGTGCCTCCAGCCGGCCAACCAACCCGTACGTACCAAACAATGGATCGGAACGGCGTCAGGACATCGACACCACTCGGGAGACTCACCCGAAACACCCACGAGACAGCCAGCATGGTCAATACGACCGCTTGGAGAACCAAATCACGGACCCTCACCACGCCCGAATCCAACGACAGCGAGCGGAGTTGAATAGCCTGGGGGATAATCGAGCAAATGCAGAGAAGGGTGAATATAGTATTAAGGAAGAAGAGATGAAACCCTGCAAATATCGCCACGCCGAAGTCGGGTTGACGCTCACCAGGTTCGTGAAAGATCGAGGGGAAGAGAGCGTCTATGAAGAGCGGGATGATGGAAATGAGAGCAAACGTCGTGTACAGGATTGCGCTAAGGATGCGCGTGTGTGCCTGACTGCGATAGTGGGGAGGGGGGTAAGTGAGACATAAAATGAAGCTTGGGCCGTTTCCAGTTAGTGTTCGGGTCGGCGGAGCGCGGACCGTGGAAAAGGATACTAATCTTACAGAAGCAAGAGCAGCACCCAATCGACACCCAGCTGCACTAGGTTCAGCCAATCGCCGATTGTTCTAGGATTGTGGACGAAAAAGCCTGGTGCATCGGCGCCAGCGATGGTCCAGTTGACGGCTCCGAAGAAAGCATTGGTAAAGCGTTCGGTGGTACTGAGGAGATTGAAAAATATGTAGAGGAGGGAAAGGCCAGTGCTCGTTTTCTGGGACCAGATCCGCCAGATTTGAGGAAGGAACACTGTGATCTCGAGACCGAGGAGGACTCTGTTTGGGGTGAAGACTCAGTAGGATTGCATATACCTGCAGGCTCTGATACTTACACGCGAAGCCAGTTAGGGCAGGGGAGGGTCATCTTTTCTGGTATTCTCTCCACTATCTCCCCTGTTAGGCCCGACCTGTGGGTGTATTTGAACGTGTAAAACTTGGGAAAGGGATTGAAAATTGGAGGGGAACCGTGAGTCATTCAGAAACATGGTTAAGGGCTTGTATCGGAAATCAGGAGAGGAGGGGGTATATCTCTAGGATAGAGAAATACTTTGAACTAACTACTAATCCATGTTAGATCCATGATATTGAGTGCCCCGGTTGGTGGAGGAAGTAAGCTGTCAGTAAGCTAGCAAGTGACCCACCGCATGAATCGACCTATTTAAAGACAATTCACGCAATTTACGAGTTAGACTCTTACTTTCCAGCCCCAACCTATTCCCGATTTTTTGCCGCCTACGACCCTGATAACTGATTTTCCATATCGTCTTTCAATGGATACGTACATAAGATGGAAGGAAAGCAATAGGCTGTACGTTGAATACAACGACTGTGAAATCACCCGCTAAGAAGCGTTTCCATAGGCCTGATACCCCACTATTAGTCCTTGAGCTAGATGGCAGCCCGACACTTTGGACAGAGGATAAGGAAGCCGGCTACTCATTTACAATTATTTTACGCAGGGTTCTAAATGATCAACAGTTTTGGCTGCGCTGGCAACCATTCATAGATCCTAGCAAGGAAGAGTTTATTCTATTGTCTCACAATGTCGAGAGGATCGGTGTTGAGGAGCGCTCGAGATATCCATCATCATTATCAATGATCGAACAATTCCCCAATGAGCCGGCATCTTTCTATGTTGAAGAGGCTAAGAAAAATTGGGACCGCAGTAAAATAACTGTGCGAGAGAGCTTACCCGATACCTGGACCAAGCTCCTAGAACCGGGGCGCACTTATACCATTCTCTGGACGGGCCAAGAAATTCCATACTGGGATTGGGGTACGCCGCAGCAGAAAATGGAAACGAAATTAGAGAGGTCTCCAATAGTGATTCCAGGCGGTGCACACCTCACCTTTACCGTACAGGAAGGGAGGCGCCCCCCCATTCCTTCACCTCCGACACCACCGCCAATTGATCCTAGCGAGAGAGTGTAAGCCCTTCGACTCCAATGGAGAAGACTTTTGTCAGCTGATATCAAGACAGTCCTGGCGCACCAGTCCTGAGTCTTGAGCTGATCTGCAGCTCAAAAATGCCTCCTTCTGGAAATCTAGAGATGTCGATCAAGGTCACATACCACGGTCCATCAGCCGACCCTATCACTTTCCACACCTGGGCGTTCAGCCCAATTAATGCCTTCAGCGTCTATCGTCGTATTTCTCCCGAAGAGTCTAATCTGGGGACTGAGAAAGAATGGAAGACATGCATAGGCGATCGGTCAGCACATGTCTTCTGGGATAATCCTGACAGACAACTTAATGTGGCGGAAAACGAAGAAGGCCGGTTCACAAGCCTCTTTCCCGGGGAATCCTGGTCTAATTCCTGGTCGTTACCAGCGGATGGAGATTGCCGGCCCGAAGACGCCCGACCTGGCGAGCAGCTCCGATACCAATTCACAGGAAATACGCTCGACTGGTGGGATTGGGGTACGATCGAGGATCACGCGCAAACTATTGTAACGCTGCCTGGCTCGGGGATTGAACCTATCAAGCCCCCGAAGGACAATGATGGCCGACCGAAAGTGGTCATACCGGCTTCTGATATATTGGAGTGGACTGTTCCCCAGTGCTATGACTCTCAATATCATTAGCTATACTAGAGATATCTACCATGTAACCAGGATATAGTTTCAAAAAGGCTTGCAGGAGAACCCCAAATACTCTTCCTTATTCAGTGGCGGGGAATAGAATGTCGTATTAAGTAGAAGGTCTTCATGTAGTGCCGCTTCAATAGAGACATTGACTTTGATGGCGGGGTACTGAGGCTGTCCCCGCACTTATCAACCCAACACGCGGGGAACGCCAGCAGAAGAGACACAGTGAATTATCTTCCTCTCGTCAAGGATTTCTGTCATTATGGGACAAGGCAGACTGCAAGACAAAATCGCTATCGTGACAGGAGGAGGCTTCGGATTCGGGGAAGGAATCGTCCACAAGTTCATTCTCGAAGGTGCCAATGTGGTGATTGTGGATATCGATCAGGAAAATGGAAGACGAGTGCAGTGTGCTCAGCCAGAGGGACGCGCAGTCTTCATTCAAGGAGACGTATCTAGCGAGACTTCCTGGGAGAATGTGCGTGAAGTAGCACTGGAGAATTTTAAGAAAATCGATATCGTCGTCAATAATGCAGGGATTGTCCATGCAGTTCAGGTATTGGAGACCTTTTATCTTCCAGCCATGATGTCCACTGACGGTCAAATTAGCCATCTCTAGAGACCTCGGAAACCATGCTAGACCGCATGTATAAAGTCAATGTCAAGAGTATCTATCACTCGGCCAAAGCTATCGCTCCCTACTTCCAGGCGCAGGGTGGGGGTGTCTTCGTGAATATCTCAAGCATGAGCTCTATTCGTCCTCGGCCGAAGTATGCTTGGTATTCCGCTACTAAAGGCGCAGTGAGTGCGGTACGTCTATCCCTTTCTTTTTCACTTTGACCTTGTTCATGTAGAGAATCTTACGATATAATGGCCGTAGGCTACCAAAAGCTTGGCTGCAGAATTCGCGAAGGATCACATCCGACTCAACACTGTGTGCCCCGTTGCGGGTGAAACTGGAATGTAAGCGTCAAGCTTGATTACCCGCTCTCCCAATAAAAGCGCCTCTGCTACCATAAAATTCGTTTTAACGAATAAAAAAGAGAAAACTTGCATGAGGGCTAATACATGGCCAGGATGCCTCTGATTCTCGGCGGAGAGGACACACCCGAGAATAGGAGCATTGTTCTCTCTACCATCCCTATGGGGCGATTTGCTACCCCGGCGGATGTTGCCAATGCCACTGCATTTCTGGCAAGTGATGAGGCCTCGTTCATCACGGGGGTGGAATTACCGGTAGATGGGGGAAGATCATTGTGATTGATGTCCAATCAATTATGAATATCATGAGAACCCGAGTGTATTGGCTATTTCCAATGTGCGGACCCCATAAGCCATCTGACACCATCGATTAAGTCCTGGGTAGCAGTCTTCGTTGTGGTCAGCTCAGGAAATATCCAGAACGCGTGGGGCATTCCCGAGTATACAGCAACCCGCACTGGTATGCTAGACATATAGTCAGTCGTAATTAGGAGCGCACAGTTTAGAGGAGCTACTGTACCCTTTTTCTTCAAGTTTATCCGCATAAGCTAGGGCCTCGTCGCGGAGTGGGTCACGGCCACATATCATGATAAAGCATGGCGGAGACGCGTCAAGACGGCGGAACAGTAATGGAGATACCGTAGGATCTGTCCGGTCATAAGGCTGATACCACTCAAGAAATTGCTTCATTAAGTGTTGATTGAGAATTGGCGTATCAACGAACTGATCCATACTTTTCAGTCCCATTCTCTGATGATGCAGCTCACTGAGGCACAAGACTGGAGCCCGAAGAAGCTGACCCCGCACACAGACTCCCAAGCTCCGATATAGTTGGCCCAGAACAGCAGCCTAGGTAGAAAGTGTCCCATTTATGTTAGTAAAGCATTACCCGTTCGGGTACTAGACAGCATGGGAATATCATACCAAGTTTGCCCCAGCACTGGTCCCGCCAACGTAAATCTTACTCTTGTCAAAGCCATGGGTAAGACTGTTTTGGAATACCTATTAACGGAGGTGCTGTTAGCTATACCTAGACCTTTACGACAGAGACAAGTATGATATACCCAACGAAGTGCTGTGATCGAGTCCTGAATGGCTGCTGGATGCGGATTCTCTGGGGCACTGCGTGATCCCATTCAAATGATTAGCGAGACCTCAGAAACAGTAGATCACTTACAGGCGATAGTCAACGCTGACTATATTGAGTCCGATTTGCACGCATAGCGCCCGACAGGTACTGTCTTCTCCTTCCAGGTCTCCCATTGCCCAGCCGCCTCCATGGAAGCTTCATGTCCGATACAACACTATTAGACCGCTCCGAAGCATGACATCTTTCCGAAGACATACTATATCATGACAGCCCCATTTGCTTCAGGCGATAGCGGCTTGTATATCCTCAATTTCAATTTCGATGGAAAATCTGTAATTAGGTCATAAACGTCAAGTCCTTCAATTACGGACTCTCCATGATGCTGTGCGCGCATTTTGGCTTCGCGCATTGTTTGACGGAATTGCTGTATTGAACCAGTCAGATTAGGAACTTTGTTTCTGTTGTCGCTATAGAACTAGACTTGCAGTCAGCTCTCTATTACTATAAGGGTATCTCCTTAGAAGAATTGCAAGCGTCTAACTTCTTCCCATTCCACATTCTCTTTGCCAAAGGTATCCCGTTGCGACAGCCACTGGCTACTGCTCGCACTGGGCATTTGCTGTTGACTCATAGTTGTCCACTAGTTAGTACTGGTTAGGCCTAAGTATACTTGACCTTGACATCGAAAGACCGCTATCGACCTCCAGAAAAACAAACACGGAGACGGGTTGCATATCATGTCATCATAGTGATTACTGTATGATACATGGTAGTCTCTCAACGTGTTTGCTGGCACCATCTACCAGTGAATGGCAGCGGGAGTGAAGGCGACCTCGCCTGACTAAACACTTCCGACTCCTGTTCCGTCACTTTAATGTAGTACTTACCAAATCCCAACTTCTCCAACCTGATCGTCTTAGCTTCATGATGCTACTGTATAGCTATCCCGGATGGCCTGTTCGAGGCAAGGCTACGAAGAAGATCAAGTGCCCATTGAATGCAAAGGGCAGAAAAGGAGGAAGGGGGATGCGAAGATCACTCGACAACAAGTGGCCGAGCTTGTGGCCTGGGTAAAGGAGAATCCTGATGCCCGGAACTCTCCTCCTGTGCGGTTGTACGTATCATCCTTGATCTAGACAATCGTTTCGAGAATCTAATTCGCTAACATGTATAGTCGTCCACACTGCCCCGTTAACCCGTACGTCCACTTACGGGGCAGTGTGGGCAAGAGATCTTCTTGGAGAGCCTAGAGTATGGGCAAGACTGGATCAAGTATATAGAAGGCAGGGGCAGAAGGCGGGCAACTCTTTTGCAACTCTACATAGTTACGGTCCGTACGACATAAACAAGGTTCCTGATATGAGACTTCTGGCGCCCGTGATTGTCGCCATGTCCTATTAATGGAGGCTGCAAGACCAGCCATGGGGCCTTTGAGTCCCCGGCCAATGATGTAAGGTTGCACAATTGATAGACGGGGAACTTCTGGCTATGGCTCACCACAAATACTTTTGTCATGCAGCGTGGGATGTTTGAGAGGTCAGTGCCGAGCAACAGATCCCATAACTATGTGAATATATATCTGGTGCAGTTCTGACGAGACAGCGCATACCGACTCAGGCAACAATTAGGATATTCCTCACTGCGGAAGGACCAGCATGACAGGGGATCGTCGGCTCTCCGCATTTCGGCACTCGGATCATTTCATCCCTTGCAGGGACTGGCCAGCACACTGCTCCGATGGAGCGTTACACGCAGTAGCTGGCTGCTGCTCCTAATCAGGAATCAGACTGTGTCAATCACTGCAGCTAAAGCAATTTTGCCAATATTACGGGGATGTCAAGCGAAATGTGGCACCATGATTGGCCTCGGCAGTGATCATAATTTCCTATCCACTACCCCTCATACAGTCACGCTGCAACAAGAGAGGGGTGGGCTCTCTTGACATGTCGCGGGGAATTTGGGTTACAATGGAATGTCACTACGCTACGCGACGCTCCGGTCGTTAAATACCAGGCTTCACGACCGGTTGTTTCTGTTTCTGCAGCATTCGCATGGCCAGAGTTGAAGCTATTGTTCTGCCAAAATGCTCGTGTCACGAAAGGTCCACAGCGCCATCCCAGCAGTCTTTCTAGCCTGGGTTGTTGCTGGGCAAGAGAGCAGTAATTCGAGCTTTGATGTACTAGACTACGTTAATCCACTGATCGGCACCTCCAATGGAGGTAAGAATATTCCTTTGAGATTATCTGAAGTCGCCAGGCTGATATAGTGGTATAGGTCACTCATTTGCAGGGGCAACTCTACCCTTTGGTTAGAAGTCCCCACCTGCCAGACGGCTTTCATGCCCCTAACAAGACTTCAGGAATGGCAAAAGCGGTAGCAGATACCCTTGGTGAAAACCAAGCCGGTTTTGCGTATGACACGACATACGTCTCGGGGTTCTCGCACATGCATGACGATGGAACTGGTGGCGTGAGTCATCATCTCTGCAATGATGTGCTGTTAATACTGACTGACACCCCTTAGTCGCCATCTTTAGGCAACTTTCCCATTTTTGTGCACCCAGGATGTCCAAATGATGCTCTTGATAAGTGTACATGGCAACAGTCTGATCGGGCGATTCCTTGGACAAAAGGCTCGCCAAAAGCGCGCCCTGGATATTTTGGCATTACCCTGCAGAGCGGCGTTTTTGCAGAGATGACTGTCACAAATCATTCGGCTCTATATCGGTTCAGTTTCAACAACGCGACCACCGAGTCGCTCAGTCCTGTGATCCTCGTTGATCTCATGGATCTTCCACAGTCGCGCACAAATGGAACGGCCTCAGTAAATCCATCAACAGGTCGCTTAACTGGAAATGGTACATTCAGCCCCAGCTTCGGTATTGGAACGTATGATCTCCATTTTTGCGTAGATTTCAAAGGTGGTGACGTTCGAGACACTGGTGTGTGGTCCAACAATCGCGCCGGTCAAGGGCAGACAACGATTTCACTCACGTCTGACGGGAGCAACACCGCCGCGACCCTCTCTGCTGGCACATTCACCCGATTTAATATGTCAACAAATGAGCAGGGTCTGATGGCAAGAGTAGGTGTGAGCTTCATCAGCGTAGAGCAGGCCTGCGCCAACGCTGAGAAGGAACAGCCCAACTTTGACTTTGATGGTACCGTGAGCGCAGCAGAGGCCGCATGGAGGGATAAACTGAATGTCTTTAGTGTCAATCCGGGCAATGCCTCATCCGATCTACAGGAGGTGTTCTGGAGCGGAATGTATCGCGCAATGATAAGCCCGCAGGACTATACAGGAGAGAACCCACTCTGGCAGAGCGATGAGCCGTATTATGACAGCTATTACTGGTGAGTGGCCCTTCGGAATAACTGAATATCCTACTCACAAATCGCTAGTATATGGGACTCCTTTCGAGGCGTTCATCAGCTTCTGACGCTAGCCGATCCACTGTCTCAGTCTAGAATGATGAGAAGCCTGGTGGATATCTATCGCCACGAAGGCTACTTACCAGACTGCCGTATGTCTCTGTGTAAGGGATATACTCAGGGAGGGTCTAATGCGGACGTCCTTCTTGCCGATGCTCTCTTGAAGAATGTCAGCGACATTGATTGGTCTACGGCGTATGAGGCTGTCGTGAAAGATGCGGAGGTTGAGCCCGCGAACTGGAATGTCGAAGGTCGCGGTGGGCTAACTAGCTGGAAAACACTCAACTATATTCCGACTGATGATTTTGATCCATACGGTGTTGGGCTGCATACACGCAGTATCTCCAGGACTGTCGAATATGCGTACGATGACTTTTGTATTGCTCAGATGGCCCAGCGTTTGGGTCATCAAACTGACTACGAAACGTACATGCTACGTGCCAATAACTGGCAGAACATGTTCAAAGACGATCAGAAATCGTACCTGCAAGGGAAGGATACTAATTTTACGGGATTCCTTCAGCCTCGATACCCCAACGGGACTTGGGGCTATCAAGATCCCATCTTCTGCAGCCCTTTACTGAATTTCACTTCTTGTTATCTGAGCGCGGACGGGCACGAGACGTATGAGGGAAGCGCTTGGCTCTATTCATTGTGAGTTTACTCATCCTTGTTCATCTTTACTAAGCTAATGAAGTTTTTCGAAGCTTCGTACCTCAAGACATGGCTGCATTGGTCACACGTTTAGGCGGACCACAGACTTTCACTTCCCGCCTTTCTTATCTGCATGACTCAGGTCTTCTTTACGTTGGTGACGAACAGGCCTTCCTCACCGTGTTCCAATTTCACTACTCCGGACGGCCCGGACTATCGACTCAACGTGCTCACTACTACATTCCTTCCCAGTTCAACACCTCTGTCTCCGGCATTCCAGGCAACGACGACGGTGGAGCCATGGGCGCCTTCGCGGTGCTTAGCATGATGGGTCTGTTCCCAGTCCATGGACAGGACGTATATCTCATCAGCCCTCCATTCTTCGAGGAAATAAGTCTACAAAACAAGCAGACTGGAAAGGTCGCCACGATCCGGAATGTGAACTTTGACCCTACCTACAAGTCCATTTATATCCAGAGCGCGAAACGGGACGGCCAAGCCTGGACGAAGAATTGGATCAGTCATGACTTTTTTCTCAATGGAGGGACCCTCGAGCTTGAGCTAGGCCCTACGGAGAGTGACTGGGGTACTCGGGACTCGGATTTGCCCCCGAGCATGAGCAACCACTGATTGACTACATCCTTTGGCATCTTCCCGGGTCTGAGAGCGAAGGATATCCGACTTGACTTCTTCTAGGTAAAGGAAAATCAAATCATGGGGTAAATATTTAGCCCGAAGGGATTATTGTTCGTAATTTGTCAGTATCTCTTGGTATCAATATGCAAAACCATGGCCACTGACAACCCTGTTCGCACCCGATTGTAGGTAACCCCCTAATAGACTTGACCCAAATCCTCAATCCATATCATCAGACAAATGTCAACAATGCGTGCGATGTACCAAGGTAAAAAATCAAGGCACGAGCAGTACCAAATTACCCCCACGTTATGGTGCTCACCCTCCTCCCTTTTCCGGCCCCAAAACCCCGAACTCAGCCTCTCTCCGCGGTTCCAGTGGCTTGCTGAGAAACAAACGGGTAAAAAAGTCCACCGGTGCTGTCTTTTTATGTTCAAAGCTATACAGTTTTGATTGCCTGATCACCAACTTTCGCTGGTTCATACAAGCCGTCAGAAGTCTCGCGTGTTGCGGCAGGACACAGGACACCACAAGGACAGGAAAATACTCTTCATCTTTGAAGAGATACGGATAGTCTTCTTTGCCCTCGCCATCGTTTTCCCAAAGCTCTTCCCGCTTGTCCTCCGAGTCCACCTTCCTCTGGTTCGCCCGGCCTCTCATGGCTATAACGAGAGCACTGAACTCCGAAAAGAGTATCGAGCCATCCCGGGCCGCTTTCTCGTCAATGAGGTGGAAGGCCAGATGAGGGAAAACCTTCCCTGCTTTCGGACATGGTTCCCTGACACATTGCGTATCCCACCAGTCGGATTTGCCATAGGGCCATGAGAGGAGGGCGTCTAACCAAAAAGTCGAGAACGGCGATCTGTTTCGTAATAAAGTTAGGAAATGTGTGATTCAGAGAGGAGCAAAACTTACTCAACTACCTGCAGGCCTTGCTCAGACTCAGCCTCAGTCGTGGCCCGGTCTTCGAGGAGGCTGGAAATTTGCTCGACACGGTCCATAGGCCCCAGAGGGAAAAGAGGTTTGTTCTTATCGATATCGAAAAATGCTCTGGCCTCAGCCGGATCGAGTGGGGATTCTTCCAGCTTTCTCGATTCCATAGGCTCGAATAGAAAAGGGGGACATAACGACCGGTCCCACTCCGCACTGTGTTCCAGGTCATGAAAGTCGAATAGGGGCTCATATTCAACATCCGTCAGCTGGCTAATATCTACGTGGCCGTCTTTGGGCACCACGTTCTTCCAATCCATGATGGTTTTGTATAACCTCTCTAGAACAACACGGCTTCTAGTGCTAGGCGGCATCGTGTAGACCTTGTAGTGGAACAATGCTCGAAGGAATTGAAGAGAAACGGATGATGCTTCAAGAAACTCTGGTCATCGACTTGGGAGTGTTGTGATGTGAGAAGTACATCAACTGACGGAACGCGCCGTCCGAAAGAAATGTTTAGGCGCGGGCGGGTCATTACCGATGCTCAGTGAATGCCAACCCCCCATCTGCCACAACACAGAGGCCAGTGTTTACTTACCAATTGGAAAAGTGGTCGCATCAGACGAAAAAGAGTATTCTGGTTCAGCCTTGACAACTCTCATCTTTACACTTTCGTTACGGATAATTACATTCTAAAGGATGCCGTCCAAGCACCGCCGAATAGCAAGCTGTATACGAAATAGACTTTCATATTCAGAAAAGTCTTTATCTCCATGCGACACATGTATTCAACTTTCTTTGGACATGCTCTCACATTCAGCTACTTATCTAAACAAGTCTCACTTTCCAAGTGACTCGTATCTGAAATTGCCCTATAGTCATCTCTCCATTCACAGTACATCAATATAAATGCGAATTCGGGCCAAAGCTCTGAAATAGTTCAATACAGAAGCGACTCATATCACGGTCTTCGTGAGCGCGTGGACGTATTTCCTTTTGGCAAGTTGGGCTGAACTCATGCCCGTCATCCTACTCAAGTATACGGACAGCGAAGCATACAATACTAACGAACCCGAAGATCGAGATTCCGTGGTGATAGATGTGGGGGCTAATCATGATGGAGTGGGCTGCTATCATGGCTCCTGGAGAGATTTGGGAGTCCTATATTACAGTTGGTAATGACATGTTCCGGTTTGCGGACCCCACAATCAAATTCAGATATTAAGATTACTAGTTTCTGTCTTTCGGTACGTCCATACCTGCAACGGCTTTGTGCTTTTTTTCTAATCTTTGCTAATCTGTATAACATAGTAGAGCAGTACTATGCAGCATTGTCAGTTGTGCTACTTCTTCCAACCATACATGGCAATGGAAAGACTGAGTCTTAACTATAGACTGATCAGATTATGTTACACAGCCAGTCATATACCAGTGACTATCATAAGATAATATAACCGGGATATATATTTTTTTTTATATTTTTTGCAGAATTTTATTATAATAAATAGTCTGTATAAAGCTATAGACTTTCAGATATTATTAATTATATCAGCTGGAATCAGTATATTTCACAGACTGGCCAGCTATAAACTGATATCATTCTGTATAATAAAATTTTAATAACTGATTCTCAGCTTGAGATTTTATACTCATATTTATATTTATCTATTACCTGTAAACTTTAATCTCCTGCAAGAATCTGTGGCAGGCGGCCTTTTGGCCCCTTATTCCCGGGAATGATGAACGCTCGCGGGAGACCGCGACTAAAATCCAAGTTAAGATTTATGGGTGCTCATAATCGGACTCATCGATGTAGATCCAATCGTGTATCTTCTTTTCATTGGGAGGGAATCCCTCAACTCGGAGCCAGCCGAAGATGCTCCGAGTTGCATTTTCTGATACACCCTCGTCACCATGATTAAGACCTTGGTAGTCGATTGTGACATTTGTCACCACTGGCTCTTCGGGGGGGAGGTTTGGAGGAGGAGTGTTGTCGGACATTTGATATGCCACCCTACCATTCTGGCAAGTCCACTTCCACCCCGCATACTGAAGGCAATGCCCAGTACAGTCTGCATGCAGACGGACATCGATCTCAGTGTCTTGCAGGGCCGTGACACCGAATGATGTCCACTGACATATAGGCCATCGGTTGTGATGTTCCTCCTGAATGAAATAGAGAAGTCGGCATTCGTCAGCGCGCTGGATATAACCATTTGTTGCAGGATGAATAGGCTCCTGCATGAATGATTGCGTGGTTCCAGACCACACGGCAGCATGTAGCTCGGTAGGAATTAGTCCGAATTTTCCCTCATATAAGGTGTGCTCCTGAATATTCAAAACTGCTCCACCTAGCCATAAAAATGCAAGGTGAGGGACTCGTCTCATTAGCATGTGGGTGAGAATGCGTTTGTCTGCGACGGAATTTATAACAGCAGTTATAGATTGCAGCCATGGGCTTACAACATTGCACGCTATCCCTGATTCGTAGAAGATGCTTGATAGCAGTGAATGCATCCCTTTCGTGTTGCAGCTCATGGTGAGGAGTTTATCAAGATTATTGACTTCCTGGATGCAGGCAAGGCCAAGGTGGGAAGTGAGCTTTGATGACTTGGCCTTACGGTTGAGTTTGTGGTTGGGTTTGTGGCTTTGTATTGGTCGCGGAATTTGGACAGTCTTTCTGTTGTCATGTACCATTGGAAGAAGTAGGACGGCTGACAATGCTGCATAGCCCTGATCCACAATGCCATGTAGCGCGAAATAATCACATACTAAGCCCAGGGCAGTTGTAGCTGGGATAGGTGTTCCGAAGTAGAGACCTTTTCTGCTGTGATTGGCGATGCTAAAAATCGGTTCCGCTGGAAGATTAGTTGACCAAGGGGATCGATATCTGTTTTCCCCAGCCACAATGTAGGCCTCCCACCCTCCTATTGCTAGAATAGCAGTCCACCACCTCGCTGCATCATCGTCAACGCCCCCTATATCTACCGTAACAGAATTTTGATCTGGATCCGTCGCTATTGTATACTGTGCTTTCCGTATATGCGAGTACAGCCTCGGGCATGAGTTCAGCCCAGCGAGCCGAAAGGATATAGCTCCACGCACACATTAACATTGCGATATGACTTTCCTCCAAAGTGAACCATTCCAGATAACTTTCATCTATATTGGCTGATAAGCTAAGAGAAATCGGAGATTTAATTGAGACAGGAATCTGCAGGTGCCGTTCCTGGAAAGGTATATTACAATCCTCTGATCCCTTCCATATTGATGTACCTTGAACAAAGAGATGGTTGTAAGAAGCTTTCAGATCTAAGTCATTTGGAAATTGAGGCTGCTTTGTAAGAAATGGCTGGATATCAAAGCATGTCCTTGGAAAGCTAGATTCTTGTGTCGCGTGAAGATAAAGGCTCTTCCAGATACGAAAGCCTTTTTCGTATACAGCTTGCCGCTCTGCGGCGCTCGGGGCGGCGTCCTCCAGGATCTCATCTCCCATAGTGATGGGAGGAAACTGAGGAGAGAGTAGCTGATATGGCTCGATCTAAGGGAGCGCTGATGGATGTAAGTAATAATTAGACGGTGAAGAGTAGTGCTCTTAGTAATCAGTCATGCTGATGAACTTGCATATGCTAGCCACGGTGTAGTTGGGTTACACACTTCCCAGACACCATTGATTACGCTCGTTTTTGCGAAGGCATCTTTCCCAATTTTCGATTAAACGACACTTGACTGCAAGCAGATGCATGCATGAAATCCGATTAGGAAAAGTACTGAGACGAGACCGCAATAGCTTCCCTCTCTAGAATAACAGCATGCCATGGATGGACGGTGCGGCTACAGCCGGCCAGAAGTACCGGCGACGGATAGCCGTGCCGACGTTTCTCCGAACGATTCCCGAAGCCGATCCCGGTGTGCCAAGCTCGGCGACGACGAAAGCTCCCTCGCTCGACTACCCGGAACTAGATATGTCGATTGTACATTGGAACTTACGTAGGTGTATAAACCCAGTGGTCTGATTATATTACTTGTCTCATTAGGATGAGTAATAGTGCTTGCTTCGCCCCTAACCCTAGCCTTGACTCCTCGCTTGACGCCACACCAATAGTACACGATGCCGGGAGTTCCATCAAACAAGGCGTGTGAGCGATGTAAGAAGCGCCATCTCAAGGTTGGCATCACCTCTTCCATTCATCTTGCTGCGTCAGTCTGACTATATTAGTGTGACGAGACGCGTCCTAGGTGCCAGCGCTGCACCAATGCCGGAGTTGAATGCCCGGGATATGTCCAAACTCGGAAGTTCATCGATCAAGGTGCCTCTGTTCGGCGTCGATATGCCCCATATCAGGAAAGTAATCCCAAAAGGGATGCTTCGCATAGTCCAAATAAAGTGAGTACATTACACTGAGTGTATGGCTACTCGTTCTCGCATGCACTATAGTCCATAATGTTTGACTGCTGCTTACACGGGCCAGGTGACGAGGGATAGTCCGTCCAATATTGAAGGAAGTGCAACTAGAAATGATGCTTCGAAGGAGCCCATACGCAATCATGTAGCCGAAACAACTGCAGCCGACCAGTCCGCCGATGCTAGCCAGGCCTTTTTTGCTTCACCTATAGCGGATTCAAGACGTCAAAACCAAATCCAAGCAGACACTCAGCCTGGCTCTGACACTAATGCTGTTTCTACTGCAGCGCGTGAACAACCATTGTCGGGCTTGCATACTCGTGCCGCTCACGTCTCTCACAGTCATAGTAGCCCTTTTGACGATGGACTCCACTCCCACGGAGATGCGCCCATGACTTATCATGAAGAGCATGCAGCGGCTCATGATAAATTATCATCTCATGATGGCCAATCCGTGCAAAGCGATAAGGAGGGTTTTCACGAGGTAGTATCAGAGTTGATGACCGATTCTGAGCATGAGATATCCTTTCTTATACGCCATTACTCGCAATATATCGCCCCATGGTTCGTAACGGCCCAACATTGTATCTAATCTGCGATCTAACATGACCATGGCTATTAGGCTGGACCTTTCGGATAGCAGAAAGTTCTTTACAACCTATGTTCCTATACGTGCGATAGACGATGCTTACCTGCGGTACTCGATGGCCGCTTTAGCAGCCAAACATCTGGGCCAGATGAAGGGCGCAACATGTCCAGAAAGCATTGGCATGTTTACTAGCCCTGCAGTCATGGAGACGTACCCAAACGCACCCGAAGTGGACTGGTATCTCAAGGCAGCCAACTACTACTATCTATCTATTGCGCGCATGAACTCGAGCATGCCGGAATCCTTTGCAGCTCCGTCCAGTTCCGCTGTCCTGGAAGGCCCAGTCGACATCGTGAAAAACTGGCTGCACCGCCACGCAGAGACCACTCCTCCCTCCGCAACAGATGATACTTTATGGAGGAAGGCAGAGGCCTTGCTAGCCACAGCAACCATTCTCACGATGTATAAGCTCATCAACGAGCCCGGAGAGAGATGGAATTTGTAAATAGTTCTCCGCACCCCTTGACTCACGCCCCTCAGTTTCCTTATATCTAACCTAGATGCAAACACAGACACCTCACCAGCGTCAACTCCCTGTTCGAATCCGTCCTCCACCTCTACGGCAACTCCCACAATAACCCAATCAAATTCACCAACGGCATCAACGCCTCATTCTGGAATTTCGCTCGACAAGACTACCTAGCTTCCTACTTCAACCGCCTCCCCACCTACTTCGACCCAACCAACCTCCCCCTCTGGCGCGCAGCCGGCCTCTCCATCACCGAGGCAGGTGAAATCGACCCATCAAGCAGCACATCCTTCCCCACCCCCGAAGACTTCGCCTCCAACAGCCTCACCTACCTCCTATCCAACCTAACCAACTTCCTCGCCCACTGCCGAACCTCCCAACTAGACCAACTCATCACCCACCAATCACCACCAGCACCACCCACAACAACAACACCCCCAAACCACCCCCCAACCTCCACAACCTGGCTCAACATCTCCGTCTCCTTCCAGTCCTGGGTCGACCGTATGCCCGAAACGTTCCGCCCATGCCTACGCCTCCACAGCCCCCGCCCGGAAGTCTACTACAGCCTTCCATCCTGCGCATCAACAATGCAGCAATACCACTTCGGTCGGCTAGCTCTATGTCTCAATCGCCCCGCGGACGTGATCACGAGTCCCACGACCGCGTTCGACCGGCTACAGGGGTACAGGGAGGTCACGAAGGAGGTGGATTACAGATGTCAGGAGATTGTGGGGATTGCGGCGGCGAGGCCCCAGAGCTGCGCAAGGATTTATATGCCCGCTTTGCTGTTCGCCGCGGGCCAATGTCTGGAGAAGCAGTCGGAGAGGCAGGTTGTGGAGGAGTTGTTGTGTGGGATTGGGGCGGATTTGGGATGGGAGACGGATTCGGAGATTCAGAGGTTGAAGGATTTGTGGGAGGAGAGGTAGGTAAGTAGTTCTACTTTTGTGTACTTGTTTGCGGTGGATGTATTTATAGTGAATTGATTGGGTTGGTAGGTAGGTGTAGAGGGTGTTTGTTTTGTTCTGTATGTTTTGTGAATCCTGGATACAGTCGAGTGCCGCTGCGGCAGTTAGGCAGAGCCGAAGTTGAATAGACTTCGAAAATAAAGTGTATGATTGGATGGAACTGCAGCCAGTTATAAACAGAGTATGGTTGTACCGTTCAACAGAAGAAAAGCGGGAGTGATATCGGGAGAAAACCTGTCTTTCATCTACCCGACACCATCTATTCCCTGTTCCTATGAATGCATAAACAACCCACGTACGTTGTACAAAGTCAATGGACTCAAGAGACTAAACCTAGAATCCATTCGTTGACGTAGTCAAACCCAGCCATCAGACCCCACAGCGGCATATTCCCGCCAACTCGAACGGCAATGAAAGTGGAGAAGGAATGAAATCCGGGGAAGTGGGTCTCAACACAGCACAGACATCTCCCTGACAGAACATGCAGGCGCTATAAGAACCAATGAAGGACCCGTGTCCAGAGGGTCGGCTACAGCAGCTAGTTTCATCTTGGGCGTCCCTCTCGGAAACCCCCGCTCTTGGCTCGTATCGCTTGTCTGGGGTTCCTTGGGTCGGCTATGGGGGTGTTGGGGTCCGGGGGAATTCCGCGTCGGGCGGGAAGGGTCTGAGTGTTGGCGTAGGTGGTAGAGTAAGGGATCTGGGGTAAATAAAGAGGGTGATGGTTGTGGGATTTTGAGGGATGCAGGGCTTTTCAGGGCTCTCTCGTTCGAAGTAGAAGATTTTGATTGTGCCGGAATTCAATATGGAGATGAATTATGATGAAGCGGTAAGTGGGCTTCTCATTGTGGGTTGAGACGTGGAATACTGACAAGGATGGGTGTGTAGACTCTCCATCAGTATGTTACACATCTTCAGGAACTGATCGCTGCTAATAATCTCGAGGATTGAGCGGGAGCTCAATACTGAAATCTATCCCGGAACAGAGATCATGGCAGATGTTGGGTCGCATCACTTTGTGAAAGCGTCATCGCGGTCAGATCGCGTTCTCGTTCCGCAGCCATCGCAAAGCCCGCATGATCCCTTGGTGGGTAATAGTGCAGTTGGACCAATATGACACCTGAAAGCTGATCGGATTGCCACAGAACTGGAGCAAGACGTGGAAGATGACCGTTATCTGCTTATCTACTGCAGTTTCTTTCAGTCAGGGTCTAGGACCTTTGGCCTTGGCACCAATGTTTCCCCAATTGATGGAGGCTTTCGACACGGATCTTGCCGCCGTGGTCAAGTTCACTGGTGTGTGTATTCTAGTGTTGGGATTCAGTAACTTCTTCTGGTAAGCCTTAGACCAACTTCGCAATTACCGAACGGCCTGACGAAAAGAAGGATTCCCATACAGAGCGCCTATGGTCGGAGACCCGTCTTGATATTCTCCACTCTCATCTGTTTGGCCAGTAATATCTGGAGGGCCATGGCAACGTCCTATGGTAGTTATATGGGAGCCTGTGTCCTCAATGGTTTCGGAGCTGGCCCTGCCGAGGTTGGTGGCCCAATAATTGAAGTATTAATTGAGACTGACAGATGACGGTAGACATCTCAACCAGAAATCATTGCCGATACCATCTTTCTGCACGAAAGAGGTTCTTTCAACACACTCTATTTCACGTTCTATTTCGGCTCGCTCATGGTAAGATAAGAGATAAGCCGCCAGGTTGCATGGCTGACTGATCCTATAGGTCGGGCCTATCATTGCTGGTCCAATGGCTCAGCATGTTGGCTGGCGTAGCTTTTTCTGGTTCAACGTCGGGCTGTTGGGGCTGGTGCTCATTCTCGTCATTTTTCTCTTTCCAGAGACCAAATGGCACCGAATCCACCCTAGTGAAGAAACCCAAGCGCAAGAGGTGTCAAATTCATCCGATACTGGCTCGGAACCAGAAAAGCCATCTGCAACGACCCATCAGGAGAATGTTTCGACAGAGAGAGGCGATACAGATCCATGGCTTGGCAGAGGCTATCCATCAAAGCAGCAATTCAAACTATGGCAGCTAGAAGGCCACAATCTGAAGAACCTTTTAATCAGCTTCTGGGTACCGTGGAAGCTTCTCTGTTTCCCCATTGTTGAGTTTGCTGCCTTCAATGTCTCCTGGTCGGCCAGCGTCTTTTTGACCCTAAACCTCACCCAGAGCGAGGCTTTCTCCGGACCTCCATACAATTTTTCCAGCCAGACGATCGGCTTCTTCAACTTTGCAATCTGGATCGGAGCATTCATTGGACTGGCGACTAATGGGCCTCTCTCGGACTGGATCTCAATGAGAGCCACGAAAAGGAATCGGGGCATTCGAGAGCCAGAGATGAGATTACCCGCAATCATACCGTACGTGATCGTATCCATCATTGGAAATTTCGTGGTGGCATTTGGATATCAATATCAATGGGACTGGAGGGTGAGTTTTCATGGTTTGCCTCGTTCCAGATGATTGTATCAACAAAGCTAATCGATTGGTATATCGTCAGGCCATTGTTATAATAGGGTACACTGCGGCTGGTATCCAGGTTGCCGCCATTCCGGCTATCACTAGCACCTACGCAGTGGACAGCTATAAGCCCGTTGCTGGCTCGATATTCGTTTCGATCACAGTAAACAAAAATGTCTGGGGTTATGGTTTTAGCGAATTCATTACACCGTGGGTGGCAGAGAGTGGCTTCGTGAAACCAATAATGTTGAACATGTCGCTTGCAGTCCTGTGGTGTCTCTTCGCGATTCCCTTTTACTTGTATGGAAAGCGTTTCAGGAAGTGGACAGCAAAGTCGTCAGTACACAAGATGTGAGTTTGCAGCCACAATTGATTCTTCTCATCTGAATGCCCAGAAGCAACAGGCCTGCTGTTGGCTGGTCGTCTCAAGTATTGCATTATGTATACAGTAAGCACTATCGCATTATTCGTCGTCTTCATCCGGGTCGTACAGATCCAAGTCCAATGTAGCCTTAGGTTTTGGCATTGACGCGGCTCCCATTCCGGATCCGCTTGTTGCTGCGGATCCAGCATGCGCTGCTGCTTTTGCGGCCTCATCTGCATGGCGCGCTTCTTCGCCGACGTCGACCTGCGGCATCGCATCCGCGATCCCTACACCCTCAGCCTCGCGTATCAAACGTTCAACTTCCTTCTCGGGTTCAAATCCCGGGCGGCCCTCGGCAGCAGCAAGCTGTATTTGCGCCATAAGCCCCATTCGAATGCGGTCTTCCATTGGATACGGTAGCATATAAGCCTGGCGAGTCATCTTTGCCGATTCGTCAAGCCAACTAGTCGCGTCTTTAGTCACAGATGCGACCGGTTCCGCTGCCTCCGTATCCTGGTTGCCATTTGTCCCCGTCATTTCTGTGTCCGGTCCCTTGGTTTCCTGTAACCTCTCTCGTGATTTGGCCTCTGCAGTCGCTGCAGCATCGGCAGCCGCTTGGTGATTGTATTTGCTGATCCGCCGCGCAAAGTCCAGAAGCAGTTTGTAGTCCACCTCCTTGATCCCCCGTAACCCAGTAGACCTAGGCTTTTCATCGTCCATGTTTTCGTCCGAGTCGCAATCCGAGTAATCATCCTCGGAGTCCAGATCGCTATCGGACTCGTCTCCACAAGTCGTTATGATTTCCTTTTCGTAGGCCATCACCTCACGTACAATGCTTTTGACTTTATCTTCCAGTTCCTGAGCCTCTTCACGGAGCCGTAAGATCTTGGCGTAGTTCTGCTGATGTTGTCGGAGAGTCTCGACGGCGGAGGTCAGCGAGTCGTCTGCGTCCAATAAACCGATCGCAGCGGCGGGGGCGCCTGCAGCTGTAGGTGATGTTGTCAGGCTATTTATGAGCACATTTAGTTTATTCTCCAGGTTGGAGAGGGTCCCTTGGAACTCGACGTTCATTTTGCTCCGTTCAGGCTGTCACGAAACCGGTCCGATGGGCAAGGATAGAGCTAGGACCAACAGGTTGTTTGAGGTATGCGGACTCAATTGGCAGGGCAAACTTGATAGTCGAAGAAGGGCACTGGAGAAGATAATAATCCCTAAAATTCGAACCACAACCTGGGTACCTCTTGTAATGCGATTCAGGAGAAGCTCTGTAGTTTTTGGTTTGTTGTCGGAAAACAATGAGATCGCCGGCAAATACACGTGATCATAGCTTTTACGGCACGTGACTGTGGGGTTCCTGCCGGTCCTCTCCGCCATCGCAGGCTAACAGTCCGTCACTCCCCAGGACGGCGAATACTCCGTAAATTCAATGTTATCGGATTTGTCGAAGTATACCCCATTGCACTACTTATTGCTCTTGTATCCTCTTAATGCAATACAATGGCACACCGAGTGCATTCGTACCGAATCCTCACATCAAATTATTAATGTCGCCTCTGCCGTAACTATACTAAGAAGTATACCTTGGCTACTCCTAGTGCGGCCTGCCACAAAGCTTGCTGAAGCTGAAAGGGTCCAGCATGTGAAATGGCACACTGTACTTCCATATTTTTTCACTAGTCTCCCCTGCTGTGAGATTTGTGACACTTTTAGTGTCTGCTCCAGGCTCCACATGTTATACGCCGTTGCCTTTGGCATAGTCCTCCCAAGGCTAGTATCGCGATTGCTACATGTCAAAGAGACTAACACTTAGATACCTGTACGTGCCAATAAAAGGACGCCTAAACGGGGTGTGAATGGTAGAGCTCGGGGATAGCAATAATGACGTTAGCTCGGATATGCAAGTGCCGCTTTTCTCTCCCAGTAGTACACCTTAGTACTGGCGCAGCTAAGGGACCCATCACCAGCAACGCTTAGAGGCTTTCCTGTGCCATTTTCAATAATCTTGTGGTTTTTGGCTACTGGTATTAAGCCACAGATTCATCAATCATGAGAGTTCAATTCACACTTGCCCTTCTTCTATCAGTTGTTGCATATCAGCCCTGGGCCTTGTATCTAGCAGAGGTTTGCGAGCAATTGGGGCCACAACCGTCAAAGTTGGCTGTTATATCTAGCTGGGATGCAACCGACCATGAGCGCTGGATCAAGTCCAATGCACCTACGCCTGGCGTTGTGGTAACACCAGCTACTGAGCAGGATGTGGCCGCGATTATAGGTTGCACGTTTGTTCTGGATGCATAAGATACCTTGCAACGGCTAATCTTAAAATTTACAATAGGTGTCATATTGTACTTCAAACAATATCTCATTCCTAGCCCAGAGTGGTGGGCACGGGTGGTCACAAACGCTGCATCTGGACGAGGATGGATTGCTCATCTATCTCAAACAGCTTGATGAAGTCACTTTCAGTAAGAACAGGAGAGATGTGGTTGTTGGAGGTGACGCCTCTGTTGCTCAGGTGATTGAGGCTTCATCCAAGAATAACGCTTTAGTTCAGACAAACAAATGCAACTGTATTGGAGCTCTGGGCGCTCTTCTTGGGGGCGGATATGGTAGCCTGATGGGCATGGTCGGCCTCGGAATTGATAATGTATTGTCTCTCTTGTCTCTCAATCTAGTCATGGCTGACGGTTGCCTTCATACAATCACACCGAAAGATATAGATCTCTTCTGGGCTCTTCTTGGTGCTGGTCCTAATTTTGGCATCGCCACGTCCGCAAAGATGAAATCATACCTGGTTCTAGCTTCTGGCAAAGCCGCCTGGACGGGGCAACTTGTCTTTTCTGCCGACAAATTGGAGGCCTTGGTGGAAACAATCGACAGAATAACTTTAGAACCGGAGATGAGCGTCATTTTATATTTTATGACCAGTGGTGAACCAGACAATACACCTATGGTTTCTCTAATGCTATATTACTACGGTACCGAAGACAAAGGGCGAGCTGCATTCTCATGTTTCTTCGACCTAGGCCCAACTAATGACACCACGATGGCAACTGAGTACGCTCACTGGACTGATGCGTCCAGCATAGCCTGTTCAAAGAGTGGGTTCAGAATTCCATACTCTGCCGGACTTAGCCGGATGGTTAGCAGCACTTGGAAAGAGGCCTGGGAGGAGTATGTTTCTTTCGTTTCCCTGGGTGCCACCGGTCAGAGTCTGGTCCTCTTGGAGGCGTTTCCACTCGAAAAGACGCGTTTCTTTGGGCAGGATTCGTCAGCTTACGCCTGGAGAAACAAGGTAAACTTCAACGCAATGGCTATAGCGTGGTATTTCGATGATAGCCTTGAATCGGACGCGAAAAAGTGGGCATCTAAAATGCGTGATTTATGGCGGTCTACTGATGGATTGGACTCACCAGCAGTGTATGTGCCCCCTATAGGTATGTTTGCAAAACTAACTTCTATGGTTGAATTTAGATACATCAATTTCGCCTTTGATGAGGAACTGTCAGTCATATATGGCGACAATGTCGACCGCTTGAAAGCCATCAAAGCAAAGTATGACCCTGACAATGTTTTCAATCAATGATTCAGTCTGTAGTGGTATACCTTTGGACTAATCGTAGGATATGCCGTGGTTACAACGAAAGAAGAGAAGGATAGGAAGAGCAATCGTACTCCAGTCTGATTATCTATGGTTCTAATTCTCATACCTGACTAATAACTCAACATTTAAGTAAATGGCACCATCGTCCTCTTTTCTCCATCGAGCAAATCACGGATCAAAACGGATGCCCGATTTCTGCTAGGATATTGGGTATCATAGCATTTCCTACGAGGTTGAATCCAGGTAGTAACCTGTGCAACAATCCTCCACAGCCGCAACAAATCGCGATAGACAACCGACGATAAGTGCCACAGCAGAATCTCGGATCTAACCCCGCAGACTGCGGGGCGCGTTCCGCCGTGCCGATAGCCAAGATCGCAGCATGAAACTTCCACCAGAGGTCGTTTCTCCCTGCAATCATACTTTCCGGTCTTGAAGTATCGCGTGTAGTACCAGTGTTTCCCCATCTATAATGACTTCGAACTCCACATCCCTCCCATCCGCGCCGCGCGTCCACCTGGGCGACAACATCGTCCTTCAGCCCCCTCTCTCACGATGCGGACAGGGACCAGGCCTGGTACTGATAAGACCGGCCAATGTTGCAGAATGCCAAAGCAAAAACACCAGTCTTGACCCAGAGCCACTTCAAAAGTGGGCCGAGGAAAGCTATGCAGTTGCCCAGATCACTTTCGACTTAGATTCTAGCGCAAACGCTTCTCTACTGTCGGTCAGAGTTGACAGCGCGATGGCTGGCTTAATCGCCCTGCCTGAGTGCAATAACAAGCAGAAATTCGGCATATTAGGTCTATACTCATTTCATGCATAGCTTTCCTCAAGAAGACTAATCCGAAGTCTAGTCTACGGCTCTCAATCCGATTACGCCCCAACATTCATTCACTCACTGCTGGACCACATCAACGGCACCAATCAATTTGCAGCAACAGTATACCACAGCATCTGGGATGCTGCCTCCAACATCCCAACCCTCACACACATCCCGGGATCCCACGCACCCACTACCAACGGTACCAAATACGTCTATCCCGACGTATCCTCCCCGGGCTTCATCATCCCTGGCCACCTGGATTTCAAATACTCCACCGCCAGCGTAGCACATACCCGTTCCCTCACCTTCCTCAAAACCCATCTGAACGGGCCATACTTCGACCTGGAGAAGATCTGGGCCGAGCACACGTACTACGAATTCGATGTTCGGTCAGTCGAGAAGACCATGGCCACAATGGTTCAAGAACCATACGTGAACCATATCCCGACAGTAAGCCACTTACTTGCCCCGTCAGTTATCCCTCATGTCAATGACAAGCATAGATGACCGGCGGCATCGGCCGCGCCAAACTAAGCAACTTCTACCTCCATCATTTTATCTTCAATAACCCCGACGACACCGCCCTAGAGCTGATAAGTCGTACTGTGGGTATTGATCGCGTCGTGGACGAGTTTATTTTCTCCTTTACGCATGACAAGGAGGTAGATTGGTTGTATGCTCACCTCTCAATATGCTCCTACATATTGAACAAAGCACATAAGTAGTAGTAGCTGACAAGGTTGTGACAGAATCCCCGGTATCCCCCCAACCCACAAACCGCTCCGCATCCCCTTCACTTCCGTCGTCAACATCCGCGGCGACCGGCTCTACCACGAGCACATCGCATGGGACCAAGCGACCGTTCTCGTGCAGTTGGGCCTCCTACCTCAGTGGTTGCCTTTTCCGTACCAGCTACCGGGCGGGAAGACACCCGCACCAGGGAAGAGATTTGAGTATAAGGTTCCTGCTGGGGGTGTAGAGACCGCGGAGAAATTGAAGGACGAAAGTGCGGTGGAGTCGAATGGCATGTTCGGGGTGGGGATAAGGGAGGTGGATGATTTGTAGATGAATGAGATGGGTTGGATTTTGGGTATGATTGGTAATTGTGAACATAGTATAGTAGTATTGAATAGATTTGCTAATATGTCAAATAGCTTGTAATTATTTGTGGCGCTGCTGACGGATTTAAGATGCGGAAGGAACCTACTCGGTGTGTGACATTCCGGATTCGGAAGGATGGTTCGGTTGCGGATGTTGCATGGCGTTGCTGAAAACATCACAGTTCCATGATGTGTCTCAGGAGGTTTATGCTTGGGTATCTACATAAACCGCTACTTAGCTGATCTTGTACATATAAGTTACGGATGCCAGATGCAAGATACCATCATTGCGACCCTCTGTCGAGTCATTAGGTTACGATAATGCGACGCCGACATATACTATTGAACCATAACTACACCGTCTCGATTATCCTCCGATTTACTCTTCTCCAAGAGTTCCCCAGCACTAAATTTCACTCCTTCGTCGACTCGCTTCGAATTTAGGCAGATCACAATCTCAATTATCACACGCAAAATTTCATATCGTTCGCTGGGAGTCATTATCCAGCTGTTTGGTTGCCTACCATGCATCTCGGCAAGAGAAGCTATATACTCCCCTTCACTCTTCTCTCCTCTATCACCCCATCACATGCCTATAACACGTCTTTACCTATAGTAGATCTGGGATATGAGCTTCACCAGGCATTTACTCTCGATGTAAGTTTTACCTTTACCAAACTACTAGCACTCACGTATCCTAACTTGGCCTGATTGTCCAAGCAATCAACCCAAGCCTACAACTTCAGCAACATCCGCTACGCCGCACCGCCGACAACCACTCGGCGCTTTCGTCCACCACTTCCTCCATCAGTCAACAGAACCGGGATTCAAACCGGCTCCGTTGGACGCGTCTGTCCCCAAGGGATACCTATATGGTCGGCAGATATCTTGGTCCCCTTCGTCGAAAGCGTTCTGCTTGGCACGCCATTCAACGGGTCCGATGATGTGAGCGATTATCCGATTGCTTGGCCACCCGCAGATTCAAGGATAACGGAAGATTGTCTGTTTCTGGATGTGGTCGTGCCAAAAAGTGTTTTTGAGAAGCCATCCGCAACTGCGCCGGTGCTGGTTTGGTTCGATGGTGGAGGGTTTGCTTATGGCGACAAGACGGAGGTGCTGCCAACGGGGCTTTTCGAGAGGGGATTAGAGACTGGGGAGGATTTTGTGTATGTTGCGGTGAACTATCGGGTGAGTGAGATCCGACCCATTTTTTAATTGGGGTTCAAGTTTGGTGTGGCTAACCTTCGAAGCTGGGAGCATTTGGCTGGTTGTCTGATGGCGAGGGTATGGGCAATGCTGGGCTTCATGATCAACGGTTGGCGCTGGAGTGGGTGAAGGAGTACATTAGCCTGTTTGGCGGTAATCCGAATCGAGTGACTGTCATGGGTGAGTCTGCGGGAGGTGGATCTATCGTCCATCAATTGGCAGCGTATGGGGGCAATGACAACAGGGGTCAGGGAGACCTGCCTTTTCAGCAGGCTATCATCCAAAGTCCAGGGTGGTATACCCAATCGGTCGAACAGCAAAAGTCGAGCCTACGCGACTTCCTGGAGTTACTGAACGTGACCTCTGTTGAAGAAGCACGTCAACTCCCGTCAGATCAGTTGATCACTGCGAACGCCTACCAAATCGCCACCACATCGATATATGGAACGTTCACATATGGGCCAGTCGTCGACAACAGCTTCATAACGGATCTTCCAAGCCGGCTTCTGCTAGATCCTAATTTCAAATGGAAGAACGTCCGCGTGATGACCAGCCACGCAACCAACGAAGGGCTGACTTTCACCCCACCAGTCGGCGTGAACAGCTCTGCCTTCCAATCCATTATCCAGACTTATGTCCCAGGTCTAGCGCCCGAAACTGTGGATCGTATCGCCCAAGATTGGTATCCCCCCGTCTACAACGCTTCATCATCAGAGACACTGGGATATAGCAGTCCCCTAGAGCGAACATCTACTTTGATGAGCGATGCATTCTTCCAATGCAAGAACCTCTACCTCGATACAGTGTTCGACACCTCATATGCGTCGGTATTCAGCGTGCCACCGGGGTTGCATGCCCAAGATGTGGCCTTCAATTTCTACGACCATTCCCAGCCAGACGCGGAACTGGGTATATTCAACGAGAGCCTCGCGTTAACAATGCAGGATTATCTCCTTACATTCGTGAGGCAAGGCTTTCCCAGTTCAACTGAAATCAATACCACTGACTGGGAGCAATACGCGAAAGATGGGCTCGTGATGAACCTGGGATTGCAAGATATTGCGATAACTTCCGATCCTTTAAACTCGGATCGGTGTCGGTTCTGGTGGAACATTACTGGATGAAGCGCCTGAGTGAGATTCAGTCCTTTTCCACCATATCGCCCCGAGTCAATTGACCCACCGGTTGATTTGCACCCTGCATATTCAGTACGGTTGCTAGTGCTTATGATTGAGTTGGATATCGAATGCAACCACAATCTGTTACTCTGCCAATGATCAACACGGCATTGAGCCGCATTTGAACCTCTGAAAATTCAGACACTGGGGACCATCCCATTGTCCGGTAAATAGTCTCTAATTGCAGTGAGACATGGCAAATTCTCAGACCACAGTTGACAGCCATTAGTAACAGTAAAAATAGCAGCAATTCCTCCGCTAGCGCTGGCGCTAGAATGCTTGGTCGGAGTAGATGCCAGGACTTGAAGAGCTTGATCTAAAACGTGCCAGTCGCCAGGCCCACTGCACGTTAGTTGAGACACGGCAACGGTGACACTGGATGGCTAGAAGTCGCAAAACAAAAAAAAAAAAGTCTACTCCGTATGTTTGGTGCCTAGTAGTTCCCCAGCTATGCCGAGGACCAATTGTGATCGGAGATAACCATGGCTGCCTAGCAAGTACTACTAGTAGGCGGTGGCCGCGGAATCCGTCTTTAGGCAGATTCACGATCAGAAAAGCGTCGGGCATAAGAGAGCATCGGAGGATTTTCGGGGGCGCACTCGGCAAGACAAAGGGGCGGAGAGAATCATGTCCGGAGGTAACCTGGTTAGATGATCGGCAGAAAGAAATTTCTTCCATTGATTCCATTCTTTATGCTGCACCTTCACGGTCGGAACAGGCCGATGTGGAGAGAGAGAGAGATTATTGGTAAAGTGTCAGGGGGAGGCGGAAAGTTTAGTCATAGTCAAAGCCAAAATACAAAGAGAAAAATTGCCAAAATTGCCAAAATTGCCTATGGGCAGGCAAGCCGTGTCTTACTGTCAGCCAGCCAGCGAGTCTCGATAACCTCGTTGCTAAGCTTCCCATGGCTATGACTGCATTGGCTGGTCCGTTTATGCCTCAATGGCCCGTGGGGGCCAGTGAGGCTTTTGCCATTGGTAGATTCTTCTGTCGGCGAGTGGTGAGTGACGGTTCATCGCGTGGTGCAATGTGGACCCTGACTTGTCTCACGCTAAATCCAAGACAGTTGGGCCAGAAATAGCCACTGGTATGGCAGAATTTTATACCTAGAATCTTAGATAGCCGCTAGATAGACAGAGCATGTGATAGTCTAGTTAGTAGTCTAGTTAGTGATTTGGGGCGGAGGGCGGTGTTTCTCAGCGCCGTTGTTCCATAACCTGAGTGGTGGTGCTTTGTTCGTGAAAGTGAAGATCGGTCGCTTTTCTGGATGTTTCAAATAGACGGATCGCTGCATTTGCATCAGCGTGGCTGACGGGGATAGTTAGTTAGTATATCTTCGGGGGCGGTTTGGCGTTTTTCAGTAGAGAAAGAAAGCAATGAAAGAGGTGAAGGAAGCGAAAGGGTGGCTGGCCCCCAAAAAGGGCAAACCATGAAACCAACAAGACGGCCAGGCGAGGCTGTGTTGGACGGCGTCGCTTCCCGTCGCGAGGAAAGACGATCCGCGCGATCAATCAGATCAATCAGAACAGGCGGAGCAGCCCATCAACTGCATTTTCCTCGGTGAATCAGGGTCGCTCAGCCTTAGCTTAGCTTCCTCCTCTTTACTCCTTTTGGTGCTGGTCCTGTCGAAGTTAGGTTCTTAACTTCTTTGGCAAGTTGCACTGACCCAATTACTTTCGGCCCCTCCGTTAGCGCTGAATGTTGTCATCGTCGGTTGATCTGATGCGCTTTTATATGCTTCGCCCGGTCGCTCTTCGTTCTGCATTAGTTCCTCAGTCTCTCCTTACTTGCTTTTGCGATAGAAAAAGTACTTCTATAAAGTTTCTCCCGCGCGACTCGGTCATTCTTTTACCTTCATCCCTGACTGCCTGTCACTCTTTCATCATCCATCATCCCATCTACCCACGACAATGTTGTTTCGCCTTCTATCCGCAACGGGTGCCTTGTGCATCACTACTGCAGCTGCCGCGGCTCTACCTGCGCCTCGGCTGCAATCCACCACTGGATCTCATCAAATCAACCTCCCTGCTATCCCCTGCGCGTTCTCCGACTCGACTTGCACTGAATCCTTCGACTCTGTTTCACAACTGGTACGTCTTCCACGCTGGTATTAACGCAGTCGACCATAACCCATACTAACAACTCCCGATAGACCATCGACTTCTCCACCCAAAATGGCACCCTTCGAGCCAACCAACAACCCATCTTCCCAGCTACCGTACCGATGCAGTTTACAGCAGATCGCAAGTGGGAGTCATTCGTTCAGCCGGTCCAGGTCTCCTACGCGTTGGATGTACGGCCGCTGCCTGCTCGCCCTGGCGCTGATCTGGGCGATATCTACTACCTCAAGCTCCGGCTTTTCGACCAGCACGGTCAAGCTGCCACACAGAACTCCATCGCAATCAGTTTAATCAGAGACGCCCAGGGTGGTCTGCAGCTGGCGATGATCGACCCGAACGGTAGCCGCGATTACGGTCACGGAAACCGTGTATGGCGGATGAAGGCCTGGAAGGAACAGCTCGAAACATACTACAACCATGCCAAGGAGGCCGTCAAGAACTGCGTCAAGCCTGAACACCCGAAGCACGAACATGAACATGAACACTCCCACGAGCACCCTCACAAGATGGCTGGATCTTCTTCAGACTCCCACCACCACCGCCGTCCTTCCTCCAACAAGTACTACCCCTCAAGCCAGAGCGGCCACTTCTTCTGGACTGGACGTGAACAGAGCATCATGAAGATCGCCCGTCCGGTCATCCTCCCCGCCCTGATGGGAATCATGGCTGGTGGAGTTGCCTGCATTGTTGGATTCCTGCTGGGTCGTCTCATCATCTCTATCTACTTGTGCGCGGCGAGCCGCCGGCAGCAGCAGCAGAACATTCCCATCATCCGCATCGAAGAGGGCGAGCCTATCTCCGAGAAGGAAGCCCTTCTTGAACCCTACAGCGATCAGGAACCTGAGACGCGCCAATCATTCCCATGATCTTTCTCTCTTTCTTTCATTCCTTTCCTTACGTTCTATCTCTCTCTTTACCCCTCACGTTCACCTGTACATTACAGCCCTCTCCTTTTGTCTCTGTGTTGACGTTCATGATATCCAATGTAGCATAGCATACATACCCATGTGATTTTTGTCCATATGAATACCATCCGAATTAAGATGAATCGATGTGTCCATCTGAAATATAAACCTCTTTCCTACTCATAGTCTTCAACAAGGCCGGCTGGCCCAATGGTAAGGCGCTTGACTACGGATCAAGAGATTGCAGGTTCGAGTCCTGCGTCGGTCAACTTTTTTGCTCTGTAAATCTCTGCAAATGAGTGTGAGTGTGGGTGAGTGGGTTCTGAGCGGATATCGACCCAAACTCTGTATTGCGGCGGAGTTTAAGAGCCCTTCCTTCTTTCGGCTTTGGACCCACCATGTCTTGGCATTTGCTTTTTGCTGAGGTGAGAGACAAGAGCTCATGCTGCATTGCATTGCATTTCCCCTGAATATTCCTTTAAGCCTTGCCAAGGATGGTGGGATTCTGTTTGGGGCCGTTCCTGGATTAGTGTATGTGCGTTCGTATAGGGTGGGGTGGTTTGTTCTGCATATGATGGTAGTGTTCAGAGTGGTGCTTGCTGTGGTCACCCGAGAAAATATATCTTTATACAACTAGTGGGGATAGTCATGATCCTACTGCCCGAGTCCGAGTCAACACCCACAGCTGAACTCATTCCTTAACCCGCCTACTCTTACTACTAGTACTGTAACATCACTCTCACACCTTAATGTCTTCCAATAGAGTTGGATAGTATGAATTCTTCAGTCCCTTGATTGTGTCTCTAGAACCCCAAGTCTACTTACTTACTAGTAGCGATACACCAAGACGAACACCCAACCATAGCTACTACTTCAACCACAGTTTGGAGCACCATTGAAACAAAGTACCCAACCAACTACATCAACAAACTTTCACCCATGTTATCCTACCTATCCTATCACAGATACACCCCAAATCTCACAAAAGCAAATACGCAGCAGCGACCATTGAGCCCGGGATCATCGCCCTTCCCTTAACTACCACCGCGTCATTCCCATGGACGCTCACAGTCTCGGCATTATCTTGATCCCAGATTACCGTGAGATTCTGATCGGGTGTCTCCCAGTCGTAGATCACGGTGGTGTTGGTTGTTTTTGTGGTGCTGTGGTCTGCGAGGCAGGGTGTGAGGAGGATGAATGTGAGGAGAGTTAGGAGGAGGAGTTTGTTTGAGGAGGAGATTGTTGGTTTGGGATGAAGGAGTTTGGAGAGGTGCATTTTGGGGATAGGATGGGGTGTGGTATGACAGATGCTAATGTCAGGGTAATAAATGGGGTTTCTGGAGAGGAAGGGATTTGGGCGGATGTAAAATTTGTGTTGAAGTATGGTGAGTCTATTGATCATGGCTGCATCAGATGTGGTAGGGTCGTCATTGTGAGCTTTTCTATTAGTGTTGAAGCTATTAGCTCATTAAGGTGGCCAGAATTTGGATCTTAGAGGGCCAGATGCTGTGTTGACCACCTCAATTAGAGGATTCGGCTAAAGTCTAGCCTAATCAACTCAACTGCATCAATAAAGATTTATCTGCATGCCTTGACGATGTTTATAGGTAGGTAAACCGATTTACTTGAAGAACTATACCCACTTAGCAGGGACGCCGCACTTCGATACAGTGGGAAAGTCGATACGATCTCTTTCCACGTGCGCTTTGATCATGAGGCATGATGCTGCTTCCTGGACCTGTCATAAGCTTTGCTAACGGACCTGGAAAACTAGGCCTCAAACGAGTACCAGGGAACTTCCTGGATCATCACCTTTCGCAGAGGCAATACGCCTTGGTCAGACAGTATTATCGAAGTCCGTGGTATTTCGGCGATTGGTGAGTCTGCAATATCGGACAAAACACCAAGAGGCATATTAATCCGATTATGCGCAGTATACTTTGCATCTGGTCGAAGCCACAATTATCTGATGTGCGTCAACGAGAGGTTGGCGAGCACCCTAGAGTGAAGAAACCTACGACACGATGGCCGAGAATGTCAGAGGCTACCAGCTCGAAAGTGCTGCAAGTACTGTAATGCCATCTGCGATTGTCAAGTGATCTATGGAAAAATTGTATGAGAGACATATCGGCCTTAGGAATAGCGACACCAGTGCCATGAGCCAAGATAATTACAAAAAGACAAAGACGGATAGCAACGCAGACCAATATTCCCCACAGGATATTCCGGTATGTCGGGGCTGTGGAGAAGACTAGGCATAAGCATCTGCTAAGAAGCCACTATACTCTAGTGCTGAAGCTCCAAATGCCTTTACTGCAGCTACCTCCAGCTATGAGGTCGTGCAACGATAAAAAAGCTTCCTCTTCAGCCACTGACTAATTGACAAGACCTATTGTAGTTAACAACACCACCCCTTGCTGGCCCATATTTGGGATGCCACGTCCGGCGGATCTGATGTCACCGCAGATCTGCGACCAATTATCCTCCGAAGCTTTATTATCGGGACGGCACAACGGTCCCTTTGACATCATCGCGGAAACACACATCCACTCGTATTGTTTATGTCGCCCAGCATATCGTCATCCCTCTACCATGGGTCCTATCAGTTCTCTTATTCCTGGGGTAAATATCAACAACACGTGGGCATTATAGGATTCCTCCGACGATCAACGAGATGTCGCATACCGTTGCCGCCAATGATCATAAACCAGTTAATTAAACTCTCTTCACCGTCTCGCGTCGATCGCCACTTACGTATGTCCTTGATACCCTGGACTGTGAAGACCAAGGGAAAGCTATATACACCACTACCACCGTCCCAACCACCTACATTTTTATCTCCAGTCTACTAACCAAGACACTGGCCTAAATCGTTCCACTACACTCTACCCACAAGCTACTAAGCATCACCAACATGCCCCTCTTCCACTCCTCCTCCCACTCCAGCTCCGACCGGAGCAGTATCGACGACCCCAACACTACATCCTCTCACTCTCACCGTCGCTCCCACCGCTCCTCCGGCTCCGGCTCCTACCATTCGTCATCTTCCACTTCTCCCTCCTCCTCCCGCCGCCACAGCCACTCCCTATTCGGTCACAGCAGAAAGAACGAAGACCCTTCCATCCTCGCCGCTAAAGAACAGGTCTCCCGTGCAGAAGCTGCTGAGCGCGAGGCTGATCGGGCCCTGATGGCTTCGAAACGGGCGGTGCGTGAGGCCAGAGAACACGTGAGAAGGTTGGATGAAGAAGCAAAGATGGAGTAAGTTGCTTTCTCATTAGGTATTGCCCTTAAGACAGACTGACTCTGGGTGACAGGGCGCGCGCAGCAAAGATGAAGCAGGACCAGGTGAAGTCAATTACGAAGAGGGCGAAGCCATTGGGAAGTACGTTGTTCTCTCTTCCTACATTTGTGTGAAGGACGGCGCTGACAGAACGTTCTAGGACATGTGTAATGTTCCTGATTGTCGATACGGATGTTTGTCTACAGTGGAGGATATGGCAGAATGGTTTATACGAAGTTACGATTCTTAACATGTATTTCTATTGTATGGTTCCTTTCTAATTCGGTTCGTGTATCGCGTTGTGTGGTTCTTTGCAGGATACGAGTCATGAGTCATGATTGATACCTTTCTTATGTTTGTACTATATTTGTGAGTTTAGTTGGGAATCCACTTGCGTACTATGACGAAACACAATGTATTTGTTACATCGTTGTTGACTGGATTTTGGCATCTTGAGGGTTGAGTCCGCTTGGACCAGTACTACTTAGAAGTCAAGAATGAAATAAATACACAGTGCACAAGGCCAATGAAAGCCAAGGGCCTACAATCTCGAGAGACGGTAGAAGGTCACCTCTCTATTCCAGTGTAGGTTAGGTGATAAAAGACGTGCCTTCTAGCTATTACTTCACACAGATTTCTCACCCTTCCCTTTTCTTCCCACATGACCAGAAACCATCAGAAGATAGGAAATTTATCTTCATTGATCACGATTAATGGCCAAATCCTCTCCAAAAACATTAGCAAAAGATATGCATGTGCTTCGTATCAAATTCACACACTTGCCAGCCTAAAGAAAGAAAGACACGGTATCAGTTCAACGGCTGTGCCTCTACGCCCCAGAGTAAGCCTGATACTATCATATCGCAAGCTACTGAGAGTCAAATACCATCACAGTAACGCCAATCTATCCTCCTTGATAATATCAGCAGCCTTTTCCGCCACAGCATACACTGTCGTCTGGATATTGCCGCGAGGTATCAATGGAATCACGCTGGCATCCACCACGCGCAAATTTCGACACCCATATACCCTCAGTCGATCATCAACCACACCTCCAATGTCCCGCGGCATCATGGCTGCTGTTCCTAAAACATGATAATGACATAGTAAGCGGTCCCGCGTCAGCTCTCGCGCTGTTTCTAAGCTTGTCACACGCGTCGGATAATGCAGTCGACGGCCGTTGGGCTTCAGTAGCGACGCCATGGGCTCGGTGGCTGCCAGGGTCTCAAGCCATACTACATGGCGCGCTTGGATCTCCAGGTCGAGTGGATGTGACAGCATACGGGGGTCGAAGGTCGGCAGCTCTGTCGGATCTGAGGAGGCCAAGTGTACTGAGCCTCGGGAAAATGGCCTGTTCAAGACAGCCACTATACTAACGTAGTTTCCTGGCTCCAACATGCTAAAGGTACCTTTAGGATCGGGGCCTTTGTCGGGCGTCATCTGGAATGGTGCTAGCGTATACTGACATGTCGGCTCGTCGGTATCTTCGAGAAATTGGCGGAGGATACGGTACTGCGCGGTTTGTCTGGCTGAACCGTCCTCATTCAAGTGCTTTTCTATGAGGCCAGATAACTCACCCTTTTCCAGCTCCGGGAGAGTCATAAAAGCCGAAGCTAGGGGGTGGGAACCTAATGGCCCAGCCCCCGAAGACTGCCACGCCTCCATGGCGGCTTTGGCTACTTCAGGGTCGCGTAAGGCTTCGCCAGTTATCTGGCCATCGGCAGCCTCCCACGTAAATGGGACGAGGCCATGTTCTTGCAGGTTCTCGCCTACATTAGGATTGTCGATGAGGGTATTGATACCATGCTCTTGAAGACGCTTGGCGTCACCGATGCCTGAGAGCTCTAGCAGATGCGGTGTTTTGATTGTGCCGGCTGCCAGGATAACCTCGGCTCTTGCGGCCACTGTGCGTTGAGTTCCATCGTTCCCTCGGAATTGGATGCCCGTCGCGATGGCCTGGCCGTCATCGACACAATTTGTTTTGCCGAGCAAAACCTTCTCCACAACTGCTTCAGTAATGACTCGGAGGTTAGAGCGCTGCGCTATTTCGGGAGTGTAATAGGCGACGCCCGCGTGACTACGAGCCCGTGAGGTTCCGTGAATTGTAGCCGGGTTGCAAAAGGCACCATTGGCCCGACCAGACATTGGATCTCCTGTCAGCCGATGATTTAAAGCCTCAAATGTCCGAGGCCAGGCGGCAGTGAAGGCCGGGAAAGGCCCATTGCCAAATGAAATCTGTATGGGTCCATCGGTCCCTTGAACATCTGGATCAACATAGCCAAGCGATAGCTGGTCCCGAACCTCATCCGATGGCGGTATGAATGTCTGCGATTTTCGCATGTAGGTGGATAGAGACTTCCAGTTCCAGCCCGGGTTTCCCAGCTGCTCCCATGCATCGATATCGCTACCGCTAGGGTAGATTGCCATCCCCATGTTGATAGCCGAGGAGCCTCCTAGTGTTCGGCCGCGGGATTGAGCAAGGCGTCGGCCATTAAGGCCTTCCTGATTTATGTGAGTGAGACACTAAAGGAGAGATTTGGATATATACCTGAGGTTCGCTTATAAGACCCCAGTCGAACTCAGGGTCAAAGTAGGTACTGGCCGAGAGGCCAGGGGCTGCGATACGCGGATCGTCGACACGATCGCTTCCAGCCTCCAAGACCAGAACGCTGACTGCGGGGTCTTCTGTCAATCGGCTGGCCACGACCAACCCGGAAGTTCCTCCCCCAACGACGACATAGTCGTACACTGGTTGGATGTCGGATAATGAAGAAGTATCTCTTTTCATGACGACGGACTTGTGAATGGATTCTCATGATGTGAGATCAAAAGTGCCGGGAAATCGGTCTCATTAATATTATAGCCCAGCTGCGCTCGGAACTGTCGCCAGTAAGCAAGGCGGGGCCACGGCTCGGATTGATACGAGAGACCGACTAACTCGTCAGATGTGGCTGTTTACCCTGAAGTTATTGGACATTGTGTCGCCAAAGAGCTCAAGGTAATCCCGGCTTACGCAGCGGTGGCGCTTATCGTCATTTATGCTGCACCGAGCACGCATCGCCCGATCCTTTGCTGCAACATTGACACTTCGAGGACCACCCACCAGATACCACTTCAGTTAATCATATCTCAAAGTAAGCAGCAGGATATGCTGCGAAAAGGTGACAAAGCCCCAGTCCGACTGGGTTGTCACGTAGATCTTCTATCGTGAATTCTATTATTTGTCCCCTAGCATCAGAAGCATTCACCGAGTAAGATACGAACTCCAAGGCCGCGGGAAATCAAGTTGAGGTGACTGGAATTTACTTACCTAGGGGTAGTAGAACGGAGCTTTGAGAGCGCAGTCCTCTGTCCCAATTTATCCCTCCCGAAAAGACAACTTAGGATTGGTTCACATGCTCGCTAGTTTTATACCGACGGCGAAGGATTACCACCACGCTTCTTATGAACAGCTATAAGAGCTGTTGAGGCAATATTACTGTAGGCTTTGTCACGTGGCTGTGCTCGGGCCACTAACCCAAGTACCTCTTTACGGTTGTTCTGTTATATCTTTCTAGATAGTAATGTAATATTAATTTTATTATATTCTTTACTTTCACTTCTCTGCTTGTAAAATATTCAAGAAACTATGAATCCAGTCTTACTGTTATATAAATATTCAGACTTATCAAATACAGTCTTTTAGTATTGAAATAAAACAGCGGATTTCTGTTAATGATGAGGAACGTATGAATAGGATTTTCCTATCTAGAAGGAATACAGGCAAATTAAGATAGAAATTCTAAAGGTAGACTAGATGATGGGTACATACTTATCTCAACGTGTTGAGACTTATGTTACACATAACTCTATTCCTCATCGCAAATTCTTCTGAAAAAGGACTTTATATCAGCGCTTAACTAAATCTGGATTCCTCATAATAGGTCCAGTAAGGAAAAACACAATACTATACAAGTTAACATCATAACAAAGCGAGATGATGAAGAAAATACATTGACGATAGACCATTTACAACGGGTTGTTCGGGCCGACTGAGGTGGGCGCAAAGAATAAATCCGTGCCTAGGCAAACCGTTGACAGAATGGTTCACGAAGTAGGAAAGAGTCTCGACTGATTAGGCTGTAACAGTCAAAGAGAACGTTCCATTGAGTCTTAGATCGCGTGAGCTCGCGCCAACGTAGACATTGTATGAGCCGGAGGCGACGAGCCACTCCTGAGTCACGACGTCCCAGTATGAGAGATCGCGGCGACGAAGGTCGAATGTGACATACGAGTGACCGCCAGCATCAATCTCGACCCGCTCGAACCCACGAAGCTGGCGGACTGGCTGGTCAGCGGCCTCGGGAAATTCGATGTACAGCTGCGGCACCTCTGCACCGGCCAAGGTGCTGTTGTTGGTGATCAAGACGGAAACCGAGGCCACGTTATCCCAGAGATCACTCGGACCACCAACGCTTTTCTTGCCCTGAGGAGCCTTGCTAATTGACGAGGGTGCCGTGACGTGGAGGTCGGAGTAGTCGAAGGTAGTGTATGACAGACCATGCCCGAAAGGATATCTAGGGGTGATGTCGTGCTTATCGAAGTAGCGGTAATCCAGGTAAACCCCTAGATAAATTCAAATCGTCACGTGTCAGCTTTATATATCCTTCTTCCTCAGACCATGCTAAGTAAAGATTAAGCCAAAAATGAACAGTGACATTCTACCTACCCTCGGTGAAGTTGCATTGGGCGGTATAACAGATGCCGACATTATAGTCGCTCTCATTCTTGGCAATAGTATGGATCAGGCGGGCGGAGGGGTTGACATCGCCGTAAAGGATATCCACGATGGAATTTCCCGATTCCTGTCCGAGCAGCGAACCATATAGAACCGCAGTCACGTTATCATGATCAATCCATTGTTCCATCAGTCGGGGCCCAACAGTATTGATGATGACAATAGTATTGTTGCAATTGTCTGCAACTTGATTGACCATACTATCCTGATCTGAATTATATAACTCTGTCCGATCAGCACCTTCTCCGGCGAGAGCATTGAGAAAGACAAGGCAGACCGAAGATTCGGTGGCAAAATTAGCGTAAGAAGGTTCAATGTTAGTGTATATCGTGCTCGAATCCACCAGAGAAGAGCTTTCAGTACTCGTATAGGTATCATTCAAGATCCACCGCAGCATAGTCCCATCTTGTGATGCTCTGTCGGTCAGAGCATGCAATGGTGTTATGACGTACGGAATTGAACCCCTTCCAGATCCTGAGCCGGTAACCAGATGGCCTTGGTAAGTGGGACCAGAGCCTTCCACATCGATTGCACCATTGGGCCCACCCATAACACTGCCGGCATGAGCACCGAAGATCCCCATAACATGAGGACTCTTCAGTGGTAGCGCACCGTTCTTGTTTTTGAGTAGAGCCATGGACTTGGCTCCATTCTCACGGATAAGCTTGGAGTGATTGACGCGAACTTCCACATAAGTGTCTGTCGGTCTGGTAGTTGGCTGCAGGCCATTATCCAGATGCACATAATAATAGGCCATCAAATTCCGGATAGCCATATCGTTAAAGCGCGCCTCAGAAAGAGTTCCATTCGACAGAAGTTTCTGGATAGTAGATGTACTCCAGTATGTACTTGACCCATAGTCTTCGCCACCCAGAGCAGAAGCGCTGGCCGAGCTCTGAGCGTTGAAGTCAGGCCAGACAAGCCCAGGAAATCCCAGTTCGGTTTTCAATGTCTTCATTAGAAGGTCGGAGTTTTCGCAGGCTAGCGTGCCGTTTACCTTGTTCATAGCGCACATCACAGCGCCGAGGCCATTTTTCACAGCATCGTAGAAAGGCCAGAGATAGGTTTCATGAGTAGCCTTGTCATCCACATTGGAGGAATACGGAGCCCCCGTGGCATCACTGGCAGAACGGTTGGTTTCTTGTTCATTAAAGATGAAGTGCTATTCGTAGACAGAGAGTATATAGAATCAGCAAAACTGGTATGTGGTATAAGAAGGCGTTTGTATATGCTGGGGATTACCAACTTTACCGCCAGCAATGACTCCGGCATCGACGTATGCCTTGGTGGTGAGACCAGTAGCCAGACCATTGAGATAAGGATCAGGACCAAAGCCTTCAACGTTGCGGCCGCCCCAAACAGTACGTCCCAGGGGCTGGGATGTGGGTCCAGCTACAACTTGGATGCCCTTGTTGTAGAATTCTGACCCTACAGCTTTGGCTTGCGAGTAAATAGCATCGCGATCCCAGGTCATAGCAAGCGCAGACGATAAGCTGAAGGCGGAGACATAGTAAAAGTCTTGTAAGCCCATATCGCCATCAAGAAAGTAAAATGCAGTGAAGTTGGCTTTCGTTGACTCGACGCTACTGCCTGTGATAAGCGCTACCTTTTGAGCAGTGGTTAAGTTCGCTACGAAAGCAGAGGCCTTTTCGTATGCAGCTTCCCATTCCCCTAGCTCCACTACCAAATGCCAATGCAGTGAGTATCTTCCGAGAGGTCTTAGAGGGAGAGGGTATAAGCTATCTCTTTCACTCACCACCATTGGCTTTCAATATGCCTAGCGTGGATGAACTTGAGGTGGCACCGGCAAAGCCTAGCAAGGAAGCCACCCCAGCAATTAGGGCAACCCTCATTTTTTGGGGAGTAGAGTAATTTAGACAGGAGCGAACGACTTGGGTGAAGGCAAATTATTACTTGAGTATTGAGATAGCTTGAATGCGAAAGGCAGGGGACATGTTATTCTATTTATTGTTCCCTGGGTGGATCCTGTTTGGGTGAACCTTGGAACACGACACTGAGTACTAGAATTGGAATCGTGGGACGTGGCAGTCTACCCCTTTGCTGCCTACGTAAGGTGACACTTCTTTTGCATGGATTTCCTCATACAAACATCCTGACGACAGCCCACCCGAAACAGTAGTGCTAGTCGGAAAAGCCGAATATGTTGCGAGTGATGGGAACGGCAGTGGCGGTGCATGTACGTACTGGAACCCCTTAAGTCCCGAAGATAAGAAAACTGAACGAACTACAACCCCAACCCCGGCAAAGGTTCCCCGGATTCCTTGATCTACGAATAGTTTAACCGCGACTCTGCAAGCAGAAGCCTATATCAGCCAATGCTTTCTTAACAAACGTAATAAGAAGGGGATGCCCGCAGCAGCGGTCCTCCAAACCAAACATGAGGATGACAAAATTATCTCCTGCCACTGTACCGTTTCGGAGGGGGGCATATCAAAAACACGCAAGATACTTTCATGAAAAGAGGGTTAGCTTGAATCTGGGTACTTAGATGACTCTACGCGGCGCCCTGGCGGATTCCGAGAATAGCTTGGCGTTTCTCGGTGTCTCATTCAGGGTTTCTCTTCCCTCACACTGGAAATATGGCCCAAGAACCTTGATGGAGATGAAGTTGTTGGATTACGTAACATTGCTCATCTAAACCTCAAAGCATCAAGCAAGATCTAAGATAATACGTCGTATCTTGCCTATTCCGTCTGAACACGAGTACGGGCTGAATATGGAAATGGGTAAAGGATCCGCACACGCGGCTTGTCTCCCCCAATATTCGGATCGTCCGGAGAAGGCCCACTTGGCCTTTCAGACCACGAGTACTCCGAACGGTAGATTAACATGCCTAGGTGGCTCTTGTTGGGTTTAAAAAACAGCAAGAACTAACGTAAGCGGCAAGTGAGTCGGTCAGAAATGATAGATAGGGTTTAGAATAATAATTATAAATTAGTTCATAATTCATACAGACTTCTTACAGGGGATAGTATATCAGAGGAGTCACATATTTTGAATTACTGTATTATCAGTAGAGTGGCTATACCTGACTGTAATATTTTAACTGTAATCCGGCTGTTAACCGGCAGTCAGGTTAAGATTCAGAATATCAATTTTCGCTAGTGAGATGACTATTTCAAAGCTTGCTGTGCTCGACG